CGTCTGAAAAATTATCCGGGATAAAATGAGATAACGTAGCGTCATCTATGAGAATTTTTCAGAGCTATGTGTCTCCTCTCCGCAGTAATTAGAAATATATCACCAGTAGATCGCGCTGTAACATTTGGCTACAGTGCCATCTAACGTTTTCTAAGTACAGTCCTAATTATTGCGGAGAGGTGACAGATAGCTGTGACAAATTCTAATAGGTAGATGACGCTACGGTATCCCGTTTCATCTCGGATAATTTTTCGGATGCGCGAACACAATATTAGGTTGGCTATCTTCAGGTATAATACGTTTATCAACGGTTCCAGGTATTTTGTTTTTCAATATAATATGTGAAAAGGTACTATGCATTTATTTCTATTAAACGTACTGTTTCGAGATATTGAAATTTCAACATTCTATCACACAGACAAATGGCTGGCCATTCGTTAAGAGTAGAGGAGATGTTGTTTTATTATAAGATTTCAGATTAAATAAATGATGTTTTATGAATGAAATTCTGCACTCATATATTTTTTAGGTGTATTTCGAAAACTATATATCGGCAATGAACTTCTCCTGAAGCTAATCGAAAAACAAAATAAAGACATAGACACAAGTAATTGGAAGATTCTCAGCCGTAAAGAGCTACAAAACAATGCTGGAATTGAGCTTAGTATAGCTATTGACCCTGCAATGGCGACAATTATAGCACAGAAAATGTTCAAACTATACTGTGCTTATTTCGAAGTATTTCTCCATCTGCAGGTATGTTGAAGTTATTTGTTGGTAACAGAGTGTTCACAAAAAACAATAGATCAGTCGAATTTCTCAAAATAAAATGCAGGAACCAAAACATGAACCTCACACCAGACATACTTATTTTGAGAGCCAAACTTGTTCGAGTTCTTATTCTTAAGCGTAAATACTTTTTCAGTTCAATAATTCAACTGTTATTAATAGAAAAAATTGGTGATAGGGGTATGTTTCTTAATATAAATGGTTTTTCCGTGATTTTACGTAACGTAATGAATGAATGAGTGAATCTTGAAATTAGAGGCATTCCGGCCACCATAAGGAGCCAGTACATAGGCCGCTTAAGCGGACCCTTATGCACCACTACATTCTTTATATCACAAGCCTCGCACTTTTAGCGGAGTTGAGAATCGCCTTGAGTCCAAGCTCGTTGATGTCCTGAGGGTCCAAAGTAATGGACCCCAGTATAGTCTGCCTATAGTAGCTCAGAGCTTCACAGCGACACAAAACGTGCGCCGAGGTCTCTTCCTCTACCCCGCAGCATTCACACAAGGGATCTCCAGCCACCCCCATCACATGCAGGTGGCGCCTTAACGTGTTATGGCCAGACAACAGTCCCACCAGCAACCTTAGGTTGGCTCTATCCATAGATAGGCAGACACGTCCATCATTAGCACTGGGCCCTTCAATGAGTTCCCGTGCCTGGCGGAGATGTCTGGAGTTTACTTCTTCATTTCTGAGAGTGTTGTCTTGCAACCCACGTCTCCATTTTCCTCCTAGCTCTATGCGCGGTCACTCCTAGAGCTGGCTCAGGACCAACGAGCTTGCTGGCTGATCCAGTCTTCGCCAGAGTGACCGCCGTCTCATTGCCCCTTATCCCAGCGTGCCCCGGTACCCATATTAACGATACCGGATGCCTCGCTGAGAGGCAATCCAAAGCCTCCCTGCATTGCAATACAGGACTCGAAGTAATCTTACAGGCACTTAGTGCTTTCATTGCAGCCTGGCTGTCGGATAAGATTGTTATTCTTCTCCTAGGCCCCCCTCATCCAGAATGTGGGATACACAAGCCAGAATCGCTAAGATTTCCGCCTGGAAAATAGTGGTATATAAACCGAGAGGCAGAGATAGCCTAGTTCTAGGCTACATAACGTAAGTTAATGTTGTAATTCGTTAGATGCTGTAATTGGTCGAGAGTTCATGTAAATATTCCGAGAGCGCGTATAGCAATATAAAAAATGTCAAGTAGGCTAACTCTGCACTTCCCACGCCACGCCGTCATCGGTTCATAAAGGATTATGTTCAGCGCAAGTTAACCCCTCTGAGAAAACGGAGAAATTAAACGGATCAAGTTAGCCAAACACTTAGGAGCATATGAATACACTAACAACAAAAGATTGAGATGTATCCTCCCCCAATTTTTATCTCCTGCAAAAAAAATTGAATTACTTTTTTTCCGTTTTTGGCCTTTACCTCTCTCGCCTCTGGACCGATTTTCAAAAACTACAAAGGTTTTTCGTCTTTGGCATAGTAACCATAGACCGTCAGACATACAGAGAGACAGACCGGCAGAAATGAGCGACATGGTTTTGGGTGATGGACATGTCATATAACATCCAAAAACATACTCACTTTTCGCGGTTGCAATACTTCCTTGTCAGTAGGCGTGGGAAGTAAAGCTATATTGATATATTGATACTTTTTCCAACTATTTGGTATATTTACTAGTACAATAAGTTTTTTCGACCAGCGTGCTGAAAGTGCCACTTTTCCGCACGGCATGCGGAAAAGTAAAAATGTTACCATGTTGTGTTAATTATCATCACTACGACCCTACCCAGGATCTTCAAAACTCAAACTTGTTATTAACATTAATAATAATGAAATTTAATTATTTACATTTTTTGTTATCGAAGTATACCGGGTGTCAACGAAATCATTTTACAAGGCACTATTCAATTGCTGTTTAAAGAAGAACTTTGAAATTTTGTGTGAAAATATGACTTATAAACACTCAGATTATCCATTAAAAAACAACTGAATATCGAAATAGAGGCAAAATGGATTCTCTTGCCGCTTCTACAATGAGTTGACAAAACAAAAAAATTGTCATAAATTTGGGACCATTTTTGTTTTTACTCAAAATGACAAAAAGTATTTAAAATTTTCTCAGAATTTTGAATAGGAAACGAAGCTTTCTAAATGCTAACAATAAAGAGCGTCTTATTTCCGAAAGAAAAATTATCAACAGTACGTTTCTTTTAACGAAAATTAACATAGTAAAAACGAAGTAACAAGAGTAACTAAATAACAAATAACTTAGCAGATAAATTACTAATTAAAAATTAGGAAAAATCATTCAATTAAGTGTTCTATGCGTTTGCCACTGAGTTGTTGACACAACCTTACTCTGTTGATGTTTTCTATAAGCAATTTTCGATGTTCTTGAGATACGTTTTCAATGGCTCTTCTAATTCTATTTTCCAGTACTTCGGACGGTGGAGGAGTGGCATAAACTTTTTCTTTTAGATAGCCCCAAATTAAAAAATCCAGAGGGGTTAAATCTGTCGACCTTGCAGGCCAACGGATTGCAAGAAGCAAGTATTGTTTCGGTTAAACATCCCTAGACTAGTAAGCCTGGATTCATCCGAACAAATAATATGGTGATGGAAGACAGCATTTATGTTCAAATCATTCAAAAACCAGTTGCAGGAATTAAGCGGTCTTGGAAAATCATTTTCAATCAGATGGCGATGAATTTGGTACTTAAAAGATTTAAAGCCATGTTTCTTTAAAAATTTTCTTGCACATTCGTGGGAAATTTGGACTGCTCACACTGCTCACCTATTTCGCGAGCAGAAGCAGTACGATCACATTCTACGTACCTTACCGTTTATTTCGACTTCTTCGCTTACTATAAAACCAATACCATGAACAGGATCGTTATGTTCATTTTTCAAATATTCTATGTGCCAATGATAATAGGAGTGTGATGGAGCTTGACGATCTGGAAACCGCTCCTGATATAATCTTGCTGGGCGTCTCGATTTTTTTTTTTTGGCATTTACCAGCGGAAAACCGCTGCTAGGCAGCAGCGGTGGCCGCAGTAGTAGACTCTTCTGTCTCCTGATCAGTCGCCGTGCACTGTGCGGGTTCAAATCCCGTACCAGGAGAAACTTTTCTCTTGGCTATGGATGTTGTGATTGTCCGTAGGTGGTAGATGGTCTCTGACTGTCGAACGCGGAGGTACCAGCCGGCGGATCTCGTAGGCGGAGCCAGAATGTGTGCATGTTGCATGCACACGTGTTCCCTCGCCAGAGTCCGTGTGGCGTTCCCCCTTTTCCCTGTAGCCCCACGGTACCCAATGGGTGTTTAGGCCTTAGGCCTTCGTGGTAGTTGGAGTATATATATATATATATATATATATATATATATATATATATATATATATATATATATATTTAGAGATAATCCGACATACTTTATTAGTAGTATTTAGAAAACACCGTTTCCTATTCAAAATTCTGAGAAAATTTTAAATACATTTTGACATTTTGAGCAAAAACTAAAATGTATGCAAATTTATATTTTTTTGTTTTGACAACTCAATGCAGAAGCTGCAATAGAATCGATTTTGCCTCTTATTTCAGCGGGTAGTTTGGCAAAAAATCCATATTGAATTTGGCGTAAATGCCATTTACGCCGCCATTTTGAAAATGAATGACAACTTGTGATACATCGTCGGAAAGGGAATTTTAAGCTTTTTGAAAGTATGTAAAAATATATACAGGGTCTTATTTAAAATTCTTGTTTCATACTCACTTCTGGTCAAACCGGAAGCGATATTCAGTTGTTTTTAATGGATAATCTGAGTTTTTATATGTCATATCTTCACACAAAATTTCAAGGTTCTTCTTTAACCAACTATTTCGTTGACACCCAGTATACGAGTATATTTCAATTGTTACAATATATTGTTGATTTCCTTATTACGCGCTGGTAGAAAACATGTTATCACTAACTCTTTCGGAACTTATCACTTTCCACATTTGCTAGGAAAATAACTATTTTATCTTTCCATAGAAATCCTGAGGAATGTTGTGGGTTCACCTATATAGAGAAGCTGGGTTGGAACATTTGAATCATCTAAATACTACCATCATTCCAGAGTTATTTGTGTTTCTCAGTATTACTAATTTATTATTAAGTCAAATATTGGCATATTTGTCGGGGTGTTTAATAAAAGTGTTTGTATGGTAATATTTTTTTATTTATCACTTTGCTTCAGTTCCAATACTTAAAGATCGACTTTTTTAGGATCGATGTCAACGATCTTGCAGGATTTTTCGTATAGAGCCTTCGCCAAATTTTTGTCGTTCACCACATCGCTTGGATCTTTTATTTCACAATCACTGAAAAAAAGAAGATTTTCAGTATGATTAATTACACCACCCAACTCCGAAAATGTTTCGGGTTCAGAAACAGCTATTTCTTGAGCATTTTGTCTGACTAAACACGAAAATCTTCATAAAAAGTTCAGATTAGTTCTTCTTTACAAGATATGGAACCTACTTCGGGTAATAAAATCTCACTAAGCACTGTGGTTCAAAAATCTAAACACGAAAATCTTCATAAAAAGTTCAGATTAGTTCGTCTTTACAAGAAATGGAACCTACTTCGGGTAATAAAATCTCACTTATCACTGTGGTCCGAAAATAGTATTCATCTCATAAAAAACAGAATATTCAGAGTACTAAAAATGACAAATAAGCCCTTTTTAGTTGGTCTGAAGTAGGAGCCTTAATAACCTTAATATCATAAAAGATAGGTAAACAGAATATCAGTCAGTTTAGTTTTGTGACTGTTGTGAATGGATGGTTTTTAAGTGTTTTCTAAATTATTCTGAGCTTTTTTGTAAATAATATTTTGGTGTAAACGGGTTAAGTAGTGTTGCCATTTATGCTCCGTATGATCGTTATATAGTATACCTGAAGTAGTATCCTGAAACTTTATGCAACGTTGGTTCCACCGCAAGATAGACGATAGTCTGGCAACCCTGTCTGGGTGACTTCAAAAAGAGCCACATCCACGGCCACACAGAAAGTCTCGTAAGAAACGACTTGCTGAGGGTTGAATATTTTTCTGTATGTTTAGTGTCTCGTACCAAACCTGGGCTTACGGAATTGAACGTGATTTTCGTCTCTGGAAAATATTAATATTCATTATGTATATGTATATTTTGTATGTCCAACCAACCTTATCCTGTGCTACTTGCTTCTTATTAAGAGTTATCAGTACTGTACAGCTTATGAACAAGGAATGAAAACTGAGAGCACCGACTCTGGCAAGAGATAGCAATGGACTATTTTCGAAAATTCTTAATTCTATTTCTATCTGGCTGAGGATACACTATTTCTTATTGCCTACCTTTGTACTGCTCTGCCATATGCTTAGTGAACATCGTCAATGCCAATTTGCTTTCGGCATAAGCATCTTTCTCGTTGAAATTCTTCTCGTTGTTCAAGTTGTCCAGGTTCAGTTTTGCGTTGAAGTGCGCCATTGCTGAGACGTTGATCACTCTGCCGTTTTCTGATTTGTTTAACGCTGGTAGCAGCAAATGGGTCAAAAGGAATGGACCTAAATAGAAATACACCTAAGTAACTCCATAAATTATTTTTTACTGACGTTTCGGCCACCACTTTGGCCTTTTTCAAAGTACAGATCCATGACAATTACAGTTCGTTTGTTTTTACTCGTTACTATACATAGTGTGTTGCGTCCACTGACGACTAAAAAAATAGTCCGTGATCGCGACAAAAGCCAGAACGGTCTTGTGCCACGTCGAGATCCCACGAAGTCATCTTTACAGTCATTATATTTTCGCAGATTCGGAGACGTTTCGATACTTAGGGTGATGTTAAAGATGATAGAATGTGGCCTGGCACGTATACAGTCCTTAACAACAAAGCTTGGGATAAGATTAACACCTGATGTTAACTTATTATTTAGTTTCCAAGACGCTTCTGCAAAGACATCAGCCTGTTGGAAAACCGAGGCAACTCTAAATTGAGATTGCTTACATCAGACAGTTGGTAAACAGTAGAGAAATAGCTGGCAAATTCATTTACAATTTCTTGTGGACATTTATTGAAATAAAGCTTTGATTATCTAATTTGTTTTTTTTTTACGAAAACAATGCACTCTACGAAAAAACACAAGAGTAATTATTTGTAGCAAATTGAAGCTACAATTCGAAAAATTGGTCATTTCGAAAAAAAACACTTACCAAATTTAAGTTATTCCAGTTGACGACTTTGAAGATATTAGAAAAAAATGTTTTTCTGATGCATTTTCATGTCCTCTCTGATTACCTATTGCTATAGGTTGTCGTAGTGGGTCATACGCATCCCGGCTTCAATTCTCTTAAATAATCCTTAAATTTTGAATAACAAATGCTCGTTGCAAGTCGTATCATCATATAAACCAGCTGCTTTGTCTAGGCCCTCACATAAAGATATCAAGCAATAGTTAGATCTAGCGACCACAGAAGCACGAAGGGCGCAGGCGTGTATTAGAAATTAATATAGTGACTAGTCCTTTATTGTAAAATAACGATACATAGTGTACCACGGTTTTGTACTTGAAGGGTCTATCGTTTGCTCTGATGTTTTCTAATGTTTTTGAAAATGTTAATTATATTTATGTGTATTAAATTTCATGTTTTGCAATATTTGAAAATCGACGACTTTTGAAGAATACATAACGACGTAGCTTGAGTATGTTTCCACCTACTTTTTTTTTGCCGAGGAAATCCCTCCAAAACCTTTCAAATTTGCTAAGTATCACGATTATATTCTATATCTCGTTTATAACGTGTGAAAAAAGCTATGCCATCAAACTTTGGTTATTCTCGACATTCAACAAAATCTCGATGCCAATAATGTTTTGGCATACAATTGAGTCTGTAAATTGATCAACGTATACTACCTGAAGATATCCAACCTAATGCTGCAATCGCCCGTCCAAAAAAATTATCCGAAATTAAATGTGATACCGCAGCGTACTTTGAGAGATTAGTTTCTCATAGATGGCGCTTTTATGCTTCTATATGCTCATATAGAAATAGAGAATCAGCTGTGTCAAATTCTCATTGATGACGCTACGAAATTGTATTATATCTCGGATAATTTGTTGGACGCGCGAATATAGCATTAGGTTGGCTTCAAGTACAATACGTTAATTAATCGTCTATACCTAAATAATAGTATACATTTTTTTGAAGACGAACCTCAACCGAGTACAAGTAGAGGGATTGATGAATATGACACAAATATTGCAGAATCGTCTTCAAGAATGAGTGGAGATCGGTAAGTAGATCAGTGAAGAATATGGTTTCCAGATAGTTTTAACATTTTTGCCGGTCTTTGATTTTGCATTTAGTATTGCATAGGTAAGTGAAGTATTAAAGGATGGGGTATTTGAAGTTGATCCGCTATAAAAAGGAGACTAATAAACATTTTTCAAATTTCTGGTTTTATTGGCAAGGTTGAACGGTCTCACTTGAAAATGAAACAATATCAGTCAAATGGGTGCCACGGCTGACTCGACAACAATAATCCAATTTTCGAGTATTTTTTTGATTGTTTGGGCTCAAGGCATCAGTTTTTTCTGGATAGAACAGGGAACATTTGACCTTAACGGCTCCCCACAAAAGTAATCCAATTGGTTCAAATCGCAGCTTCGAGCCCGTCAATTGATATTGGTCTTCGAAATCGGTGCTCAAAAGTTTGATTGTTGCGTTGGCTGTATGGCAAATTGCGCAGTCTTGTTGACACCAAATGTTGTTTATGCCATTGTCTTCTACATTTGAGTACAACAGTTCGTTGAGCATGACACTATAACTCTCCCCTATTGACTCAAACGGCAGCTTCTTACTCGTTTTCGAAAAAAAATAGCTTAGTGATGCCGTCAGACCAAACACAATTATTTTAAAACATTCCTAAATTGCAAAACGTGTCATAAATAAAATTTTTGAACATGTCAGATATCACAAATTGACTTATCACCTCGCGTGGTCAACCTACCCTGCTTTATTTGACGTTTAACTTAAAGATTAAAAAAAAATACGAGTTTTACATACGTAGAATAATATATAGTTGTTTAATAGACAAACACAATATTTTAGCTGGCACACGATTCTGACTTCCAATAAATGAATGAATAGTGTAATTTAAGAGTGAAGTACTAACCTGTGAAGCAAGTTCCGAACTCCACTGTATTTTGATATTTTGAAAACGATGTCGAGTTGATGTTGGTGGATTTTAATGTAATACCTGAAACGTATCCTGTAGGTTTCATGCTGTCAACCCTCTATGTTTGTCTGGTCGCTAAATATATGCCGTAGTCATATTGTAGAATGGACCATTTGATGAAGTGATCGACCATTCCATGAAATGGTCGCATTTCAAGAAATTTTCAACTAAATTTGAACAGATCGTTAAATCGTCAACTTTTAACGATTTTGTCATCCTCGATGGAGGGTGCCTATAGGATATTTAATAAAAGGCGTGTATGGATCTTTAGAAATTAAAATAAAATAATTATATTAGAACATTCCTAAATTGGAAAACGTGTCATAAATAAAATTTTTGAACATGTAGGATATCACATATCACGTTTAACTTAAAAATTAAAAAAAATACGATGAGTTTTCCATAGGTAGAATAATATACAGTTGTTTAAAAGTCAAACACAATATTTTAGCTGGTACACGATTTTGACTTCCAATAAATGAATGAATAGTGTAATTTAAGAGCGAAGTACTAACCTGTGAAACACGTTCCGAACTCCACTGCATTTTGACATTTTAATCGGTACTTGCGTGACCCACATATTACTCGAGTACTTTTTTGTCGTAACGTCTTTAATCTCCTTTCTTCCTCATTTGGTAACGAGAGAACAGCTTTGTTATCAACGATCACTGCCGTGTTGCGCGTCTATCGGTAATTAAAGTAAACATTTTGCGATTTGATCAAACATATCGTTAAGCAATTTTTATCATTGATCTGGTCAAAGCACATCATGATGTGTCCAATAAATAAGTGATACATTTCATTAAATGTTTGATCATTATACGAAATGGTCAACATTAGTATATGGCCACGACATATATATATATATATATATATGCTTGCAATTTTGACGACCTCCACGGTGCCCTTTTTCAAGTACAAATGACATCAGAATTGCATGTGCGGTTTCATGTGGCGTCCAGACAAACATGAAGGATTGTTGAATGATCCTGGAGATTCTGAGCAACAGCAGCAATCTTTTCGTCTGAACGCACTGAATGCGATCGAAGACAGATTGTTTTGTCCAATAATGTATCATGAACTCGCTTCACAAAGTGGTTCACGAACCGAATTCATGATTTGTCTCGAATATAAAATTTTTACTTACCTGTCCCTAAAATCTAAAATTTTACTGAACTTGAACATCTTAGACCTATAGGCTTATTATCCTTGTTTTCAAAAATTCTAGAAATAACATACAGAAGCAATATAGATTATTCTTGAAGTAAAAACGCAAACAAATTAAATCAAGACGATCACGCTAAGAAAACGAATGTCGAAATGCAGTTAATACATTTTTATCGGATAAGCGACTGAGCTCTTCCGGTTCAGATACCTCATGTCAAATTCCATTAAATCGTTTGGGACATTTTAAACTTATTCCCCGGAATAAAAAGTAGCGTATGTGCTATTCCAAACTATATCTACCTCTGTACCAAATTTCGTCCAGATACCTTTACAGCCATTTTGGCGTGATTGAGTGACAAACATCGGCAACTCACTTATAAAATTAGTAGGGATTATTTTCCATCATATGTTTTAGGCACCTACGATCTTCATTCTTTCGTTTTTGAAAACGCCACTAGTTTTGATATTTGGATATTGCAGATCACTCAGATTAGGACCAACTCCTCAGACTTCCAATACAGATACAGGCCTCAAAGTGACTGTGGTCAGTGAGGGATACCCAGAGACACGCATCGGCAAAAAGATTCAATTCGACAAACTCAAAAGATGCCTGAAAAAACCATGGATACTCAAACGCTGGTACATACTTCCTGAGCACATCAAGCAAGAGTATGATGTTAAAGATATAGTTTGGTCTGCAGGCAAAGTTATAGTCACGTGTGGTAACATACCTACGCGTGATTGGTTGAATAGATACGTGAGGGATATGAAATCATTCAAGGATGCTCAGTTGAAGACTTTAGTAGAAGAGGGGGAAAGTTGTGACAGAAGGCCAAAGTTTTCAAGTGATAGAACAACTCCGTCTGAAAATAGGCCTCTTGAATCTCTTCCTAAGGATAGATCTTTCGTCATTATGACAGGTGAGCTTAGATTAGGGAATGACGAACTGATACTCAAAGAACCGGATATTTTGGACTCGCTGTCAAACAGTGGCGTATAGAAGGCCGGGCAATTTTGGTCGAATTTTGCCAATTTATATTTACCGAACTAGCCTTGTAGGCACAAGCCTAAATAGCGGGGTACCGAAATTACCATAAGGAGGTTAGAGTTAATCTGATTTTTGAATTGCCTAAGGCTAGTAGAAGTAGGAAAAGCATCCTCAAGCAATCTCGGCACCCTAGGAACAAAGAAGCGATCACACCGGTCAATTCCGGATGTTTCGCAGAAGCAGAAACCTGACGGGTCCATCTGAAAGGGTCAAATAGAACAAAACTGAGTGTCAGAAAAAACAGATGAGGGTCGAATTGTAAATGAAACAATAGTACAGGGGAAGTAGGTATACTCGTCATATAAAGATGCCAAAATTATCAAAGAAAAATATTTTTTTTGGGAAATTATTGATCAATATTGGGAAAACGTTTATTATTATTAATGGCCAATTTTTCACAATGTAGTAAATAAGAGTAAATGACACTCAGCTGATTTATATCAGTTTTTTTATTCATATTATTCTCGATAGGAACATACCTGTTTTTTTGCCGACTTTTAGTTTTGTTACGTATCAGAACAATGTCATATATTTTTTCCTAAACAGTCAGACACGTGCTTTCAAAAATGAATTGTAAACATTTTTGGTTGTGATACAATGTGTGCCTCATATTCAATGTTGTATCCAGGCATGAAGTTTCACTTTTTACATTCTTTCACAACATCAATCTAGCTAGGACCTCAACGATTTAGTAAGCATCATTTCCAGATGGTGATGACAGTTGCAGAGTTGACCAAAAGCTTGAGAAAGTAAAAGTTAAAAGAGCACTCCTATAGTTTAATTTTGCCGCATTTCCCAAAATTAACTGTTGCCTAACTATATAAAAACTGGGAAATATATCAAAAATCTGTTTTCGTGTTTAAAATTACTATAATATTTACAAGGTGCTCCATAACTTCGTGCCATGGGAAACTTTTCTTTTATTAGAACACCCTATATGTTATTGCATATTTGACTAGAGCTTCTAAAAACAAGAAGTTTGATATCATATAACATATGGTTTTGATTGTCAATGGCTATAGGCATTTGGTCAAACGACGGGTCGTAATTTTTGAAGATATTTAGATAAATCTTAGTTCAAAAAAATGTTATCATCGATTTTAAGCTGATCTGGAAAAAGTGCTGATGTTTCTTTCTATTTATTGAGAATCTTAAAGCAAAATATACATTTTCTCCAAAATTTCAAATAGTATATTTCTACATCGTTAAATAGTTTTTGTATACTGTATATTATACAGAGTGTCCCGACATTCAGGGATAATTCTACAACTGTAGATAGGTCACTTGTTGGACTAAATGGTAAAATTTTATTTTAGTAGAAGTCTTATAGTTTTCGAAAATTTCAGCATAAATTTTTTGTTAAAAACTGGCTTATATTCTGTTAATCTCGTGCCATTTCTACAAATATCATTTTTGTTGAACATTACTCATTTTATCTCGTGCATAATAATTTTTCTTTGAGGTATAAAAGTTATGCCAAAGTCTAAATTTTTATTAAAATTCCTTCTGCTGTCTGACTTTTATACCCTGTAGAGTGGGAAGGTCAAATACGATCACTGTGCCAATTAGTCGAGAAAGTTTCCAACCATTGACAATTTTGAAATGGTATTATTATTCACCCTCCGCTGTTTCCTTTTTAGTTTTATTGCAGTTGTAATGCGTCAGTTTATCGTCGATGTAGAAAATAACAATTGGCTTGAATACAAAAAATGGACAGGATTGATGTTATATACCTTCAGTTTTACTCAAAACGGTAACCTGCCTTCTGAATATGCTCGATGAACGTTAATGAAAACACCGTAACCGGGAGGATGTCGAGGGATATCTTTAAGAACAGAAAATAATTTTCAGTTAATGTTATACGTGATACTGGAAGTAAAACCACTTTACCCCGCATGACATAGCTCAGCAGCTTTTGTAGCGATACACTGGTATTCCCCGTAAATTAGATGCATATCTACGTACTCGCTAAGCGTATACTCGTATCTGAGCATAATGAAACAACAGCACAAAAACTAGAAAAGTAATAAAAACTCAACCTGAAAATAACTATAAAACTCAAAATACAAATAACGAGAGGCATTGAACAAGAACTGACTTTTAAAAATCACAAGACGTAGGAACAAGGTGTCAAATCTGCTTCTTCTAGCGTTCATTTGAGTTTGTCAGACGAAATATACCGTAATCGGATCAGGCTGCCTTATTTCCTTGCCACCAAGATCGTTGGACCTAATTCTACAATTTTTGTTATTATAGTTGTTTAGAGAATTTGTCTACCAAGCTGTGCTGACCAAAGTAACAGAATTGAGTTCCAAAATTGAAGCATACTCGAGCATTCGAGCGTTTCAATGTAGGGCATTGTTAGGTACCTATAGGAGTTGTATATAAAAAATCAGGTCACATATAGGAGTAGGTAAAAAATCAGGTCACGCGATCCCAAACTTGATCGTTTGACCGATATATTTAAACATGGACGTCAAGTTGTAAAACGGTTATTCAACATATCTTCATAACCAGAGGGTCGATTTTAACTTGTCGAGGTCATTTTACTCTTTTTTTAGAACAAATATGCCCCAATGCCTTATATGGAGGGATGTCGCAACAACGGTTTTGCTGCCATTTTGCATAAACCCCGCTACCGGTTTTCGCTAGCATTTTGCGGTGACCCTCATATTGTATTGGGTTGTCGGAAAAGTCATGACGTATATGCAACAAAGTATGCAATTGCATGGTTGGAAGTACGTGAGTCAATGACATTTGTATGTCGATTGTGTAGTTTGACAGTTGACACTTCAAGCTTCATTTGCACCAAAAAATTAAGTGATTTATTTGAGTCTCGTCGATTTTAGAGGACGTTGAAGATGGACGACCAAACTGTGCATTTTCGTCACATTTTGCTGTATTACTTCCGCAAAGGCAAGAACGCAAGACAAGCGTGTGAAAAGTTGAGAAAGGTTTATGGAGAACATGCACTACAAGAACGGCAATGCCAGAGATGGTTTAAAAAATTCCGAGATGGGGATTTTGATATCCATGACGCACCTCGATCAGGGCGGCCTACTGAGTTGGATAGTGACGAATTAAAGGCATTGGTAGGAGCAAACCCACATTACACCACACGGGAAATTGCAGAAACCTCAAAAATCCATCATTCAACCGTTCACGAGCATTTGAAGAAACTGGGATACGTAAGCAAACTCGATCGTTGGGTACCACACGAACTGAGAGAGGTTCATTTGACGGCGCGTGTAGACATCTGCGATATGCTCCTTAAACGTGAGGAAAACGATCCTTTCTTAAAGCGCTTGATAACGGGAGATGAAAAGTGGATTGTTTACAACAATGTGGTTCGCAAACGGTCTTGGTCCCGAAGTGTAGATACGCGTAACACGATCGCGAAAGCAGAGAGTCATCAGGAAAAGGTGATGCTCTCTGTTTGGTGGGATTTTAAAGGGATCGTGTTTTTCGAACTCCTGCCAAAGAACCAAACCATCGATACAACTGTGTATTGTCGGCAATTGGACAGTTTGCAACAATCCATCATGCAAAAACGTCCGGAGCTCATTAATCGCAAAGGAGTTGTGTTCCACCATGACAACGCGAGACCGCACACAAGTTTGCTCACTCGTCAAAAGTTATTGGAGTTAGGATGGGATGTGTTACCACATCCAGCATACTCGCCTGATCTTGCCCCATCTGATTTTCATTTGTTTCGGTCGCTTCAAAATTCCTTGCGAGAAATACGCTTTACTTCAGATGAAGCTGTACATCAGCACCTTGTTCAATTTTTTGCCGGTAAAGACAAATCCTTCTACGAGCGAGGAATTATGAAGCTGCCTGAAAGATGGCGAAAGGTCATCGATCAAAATGGGCAATACATTATTGATTGAAGTTTGTGCTGTATATGAATAAAATGGCCTTAAAATAAACAAAAAAAAAGCGTCATGACTTTTCCGACAACCCAATATTTAAAATGACGTCACTTTTCTTATTATATTTCCCTCATCAGGCTCATCCATTTAATACCCATATTATTGGGGGTGACTATGGAAAAAATAAATCGTCATTTTACGGTGGCCCCGATACTAGATTTACGGTGCTTGTTATGTTTGTCTGATAAAGCCCCTTAATTTGATACCTATATCATAGAGATGACTATGGTGATTATAAACACGATCTTGGGCCGGTCCAAATTGGCCATATTGAATTAAGAATGGCGTTACTTATTGCGTTTCTCACATCAAACCCTTCCATTTGTTACCCATATCATAGGGGTGACTGTGAATAACGTAAATTACCATCTTGTGGCGGGCGCCATATTGCATTTAGAATGAACTCACTTTGCTTATTGCGTTTCTCTTGTAAAGCCCATTCAGTTGATACCCTTGTAATAGGGGTGACTAAGAAAAATGTAAATCGCCATTTTGGATGACCGCCATATTGGATCTAGAATGACTTTGTTTATTGTTTCTCTCATCAAGCCGTTACATGGAAATGATGAATCACCGTTTTGTAGCATCCGCCATATTGGATTTAAAATGACGGCAGTGATTAATTTGATGTTGTCACGTGAACCAAACTTGTCAGCTCAATTGGTGAACAGGTTCAAAATTCAGTTCCAAGATATGTCCCACACGCATTAACATACATACTAAAAAACAGGTCAAGTTAAAATAATAATTCCATGATCAAACGAACTTATCTGTAAGTGATGTTCGATCTTAATTATGTGAAGTCCTCGTCGAAGTAAATATTTAGAATACATATCGTAGTACCCTCGTTAGTTGTACCATACCAAAGCGCGCACACAGCGAAAGAAAGCGGCATCGCGCCCGTTCCCCCTAACTTCCTCCCCTCTGGCCGCCTATAAACATTCATTTTCTTCAAAGCCAAGTTGTTGCAGTAATTGGGTGATACCTAGGGAGCGAGGGAGCTATTGACTTCGACGAGGACTTCACATCATTAAGATCGAACATCACCTACAGGTAAGCTCGTTTGATCATGCAATTATTCCGTCCTCGTCGAAGTAAATATTTAGAATACATGTCGTAGATGTTCAAAGCTAGCTGCAACAACATACTACCAACGCTCTACAATAGTACACAACTACACAAATTGTACGCAATATATGTGTCAACTAAATGTACATTTCCATTATAACAACTCAAGTTCGGTCTTTTAGCAACAGGTAATATGACGTACCTTGTTCAAAAATTACCATCCATTACATGGTAATAAGTAAATAACTTAATAACATATTTATGTTTAAGGTGTAGAGACTTGGTTCACCTCAAATGCCGCTTGAACAAAGATATTGTTTGGCATAAGAGATTTGTGACGTATCTCAAAAAACGTACTCCAGCCCGCCGCCAACCTAAGACTACTATAATTTAGCAGGCGGAGAGGTAGGCGGATTTCATGTACTGTGGGCTGTCAATTGTGACACTCTCTGTTAAAACCGACTTCAACTATCTGAAAGCAGAGGCATCACGATACAGTGACAAATAAATACTTTGACTGCACAGACATTTGGGCGTAAAATACGGTAGAACTAAAAGTGGTTGCCTCATGAGTCAGCCCGAGACTATCAAAAACTGAGAAATCCCAGTTTCAATATTATTCAACCCAATCCGGATGTTGTCTCTTTCGATTAGTTTGCACACTCTGACCTGATGTTAGAGCTAGCTGTGTTGCTATTTCCTCATCCAAATACCTAAAGAGCTTACCAGCAACAACCCCTTTGGTTGTTTGAGAACAAACCCAGTATCTATATTTCAGTTGGGATGGCCTCAGCCTGTAAATGCCCTTCAAAAACCATTTTATGTCTGCGTCGTTAGTAACATTTTGGGTAAAAGACTGATAGCTGAAACAATTATATCTTGATCTCTTATCACACTGTATGTTAAGAAATTTCAAGGTAGAAAACCAGACATGTATTTCTTCCCGACAAAGGTCCTACCGTAGTCTAAGCCCACAATACGTGATGGATTATCGGAATGACAGCTTTCCAGTAACGATAACCAGGGTAAGCTTACGAATTAGTGGGAGCGGCGTCCTGGGTCCCTCTATCAGATCCTTGCGTTACATTTAGAAGTGAAATTTCAGAAACACCGAATACTTGAAAAAAAATCAGGACGGTGACAGGTGCACGTCCGACTTACGCAAAAGCTCATCTGTACCAGTATTACTCCTAGATTTCATATTTGACGTGAGTTAAGTAAGATTTCTTTCTTTACACAATTGCCTTAGTTTTCCCGCAACCTGGTGCAGACGTGGAAACTATAAGCCCTCCATTCTATTGATGTAGGATGGGGTATAATAAGCGACAGCCCATCAATCCGGTAGCAAAGCATTCACCACAGAAGAAAACTACCAGTGGTTCTTGATGATTAGCATGCGGGATCTTCTTCTCGGGTGACCAAAAACTATGAGACTTTTCCCTGGCCAACGAATGTCACAGTCCGAGAAATTATACAACCAAAAATTGGACAATTCAATACCTCTGACCGCATTTGGCAGTTTCTTTGAGTCCCAGCCGAGGTAGACCTTAAGTTATTTTATCTCAGTCGCATAGTAGCGTTAAAATTCCTTTGAGAATTTTACAAGGCAAGAAATTTCATTTATTAGTGTATAGTCGGTTAGGTTTAGTAATATCTGCAACGTCCGCTCAAGTAAAGTTACTGTGCTCACTTTTTTCTTAAGGTATTCCAGAAATGGTTTTATTAACTTTGTGAACACATGAGGGGCTCAATTTACCCTAAACGGTTCAGCATTGTATTGGAAGAGCTGTCCCTTGAATATGAATCTGAAATATATTCTATGACTCTCACTAACGGGTATCAAAATCTCTGTATATTCCAAATCCAGATTCGTTAAGAAAGTATCTCTACAGAGAAGCCTGATCCCAGTTCGATAGACTTAAGGGTTCTATCCCTATAAACAGACAAAGTGTCTTGAGGTAAGGAATCAAACGTGTTGACCCATCAGACTTGGAGGCAAGAAACAGTTGGCTAGGTCCTGATTTTTAGTTAGCTCAACTTTCTTACTGATAGCACCGCAGCTAAGCAATTGAGAGAATGTCGAAAGTCGGTAGTTCATAGATGGAGTAATAAGATTCAGTTATGGCAAAGTGCTGAACCAGTCGCCATGTGAATGGCAAGTGACCACTTGAGTCCAACTCAGGACTTTAGCCCCACTCCTACAGCTCTGCCATTTATTGATCAATACGCGTCAATGTCCCTGTTGATCTAGATACCTCATCTACATCAATAATGGGTGATATCTGATGTCTGACCTTTTGGCCTTCAGTTTCTGCTCATGTTTATCTGATTTCTATTTAGAATTGACTTACTTGGTCAGACCTACATCGAAGAACAAGATATCAATGGAAGCCTCTGTCAGAGTACTCCTGAGTTGTTTTGCTTTAATGTGAATATCTGCCAGCATGCGATCCTCTCCCTTCTTTGAACCTAGAGGATGGAGTATTGCAGTTAATAAACAGCTCACATGTACACAGACCAAGCACGCATCCCTGCGTGCTATAATTTGTATTATAGCTTCCGCTACCTCACCTGGTTAACCTTAAGTGGCTAGAATAGAACAGAATTTATTCATCTATCGTCATCAACAAGACCTGCCCTCGAAATGTCAGCCTTGGAACAACGCGCGAACATTAATTGTACTAAGGTCGCCGCATCATCGTGGTGATGCGTCATCTATTGAAACAGACTACATGGCCTTTAAGACAACACAATCCGGAGCGCCCTGCTGCTCGAGTGCCACCTATGCAAAATGTAACATTAATCGGACATAATGATGTTTAACCTCCGTTATTATTAAACATTAGAACTTTGGTGGTTTCCTAACTGGTCATGTTCATACGTACAGTCCTGATCCATATTTATCACCAGCCAGGTGGAATTAGCTATCACAAGCCAAATGTAACACTAGTATCACATAGATAAAACCTTATCTCCTGTTATTAACGAAAAATGGTACTTTAGCGGTTTCCTAAACTGTCATGTGCATTCTGACAAAGATGTTCCAAGGTTATCACAAACTAGATGAAATTTGCTATCACAAGCAATTGAGAAGAGATTGTTGAGCATAGCTTGTTGCTACGTTGTCCCAAACGCTTTCAGTGTTGTTATTTGTACAACGGAGTGCAGTATTGAGTCATTATCCCAAACATGTTAAATAAAGTAAATTGTTTGGAGCTGACTATCACCAGCTGGATCCATGTTGCTATCCCAAGCAACCGAGTCCAATGTTACAACGTTATCCCAAATGTCTTCGTTCATCCTTGGTGTGGAGCTGACTATCCCAAGCCAGGTCCACGTTGCTATCCCAAGCAACCGAGTCTAATGCTTCCACGTTATCCCAAACGTCTACGTTCGTCCTTGGTGTAAAGCTGACTATCCCAAGCCAGGTCCACGTTGCTATCCCAAGCAACCGAGTCTACTGTTTCAGCGTTATCCCAAAAATCTTTGTTCGTCCTAGGTATGGAGTTGACTATCACAAGCTAGGTCCAGGTTGCTAACCCAAGCAACAGTGTCAGAACGTTATCCCAAACGTCATGTTAGGCACAGTCTGCAGCGTCGTTGAGGCATCCATACTAATATTCATTTAACTTTCACCTAAAACATATCGGTTAGTCGACAGTTACCTGATGGTGACGACCCTTCAGAAAAATAGGCCTGCACGCCACTTTCTAATTTTGCCCCTCGACGAAAGAACCCTGAGGCGACCTTCGGTCGGTATCTCGCTCGACAATGCACATCTATCGGCCAACCTTCTGTCCGGTTAGTCGACAGTTACCTGATGGTGACGACCCTTCAGAAAAATATGCCTGCACGCCACTTTCTAATTTTGCCCCTCGACGAAAGAACCTTGAAGCGACCGTCAGTCGGTATCTCGCTCGACAATGCACATTTAATCGGCCAACCTTCTGTCCTGTTTCTAAATGTTCAGCGGTTCCTCGACACTGCTGAAAAGGAAGAAAAGATACGCGCCGATTAACGTCTTAACGGTTTGGCACGAGAACAAGGAATTAATAGTTATAGGCGGCCAGAGGGGAGGAAGAGGGGGAACGGGCGCGGTGCCGCTTTCTTTCGCTGCGTGCGCGCTTTGAAATCGTGGGGTTTGGTACAACTAACGAGGGTACTACGATATGTATTCTAAATATTTACTTCGACGAGGACGGAACATAATAAGAACTTGTAAAAAGCCAACCATGGTGACCGAAACGTCGTAAATAGTATGTGGTTTAATTTATCGGCCAGACTAACATGGATTATCGGCATGAAAACCACAGGACACGCTTCAGCATTGATTAACGTATTCGACCTGAAGATAGCCAACCTAATACTATATTCACGCGTCTGAAAAATTATCCGGGATAAAATGAGATAACGTAGCGTCATCTATGAGAATTTTTCAGAGCTATGTGTCTCCTCTCCGCAGTAATTAGAAATATATCACCAGTAGATCGCGCTGTAACATTTGGCTACAGTGCCATCTAACGTTTTCTAAGTACAGTCCTAATTATTGCGGAGAGGTGACAGATAGCTGTGACAAATTCTAATAGGTAGATGACGCTACGGTATCTCGTTTCATCTCGGATAATTTTTCGGATGCGCGAACACAATATTAGGTTGGCTATCTTCAGGTATAATACGTTTATCAACGGTTCCAGGTATTTTGTTTTTCAATATAATATGTGAAAAGGTACTATGCATTTATTTCTATTAAACGTACTGTTTCGAGATATTGAAATTTCAACATTCTATCACACAGACAAATGGCTGGCCATTCGTTAAGAGTAGAGGAGATGTTGTTTTATTATAAGATTTCAGATTAAATAAATGATGTTTTATGAATGAAATTCTGCACTCATATATTTTTTAGGTGTATTTCGAAAACTATATATCGGCAATGAACTTCTCCTGAAGCTAATCGAAAAACAAAATAAAGACATAGACACAAGTAATTGGAAGATTCTCAGCCGTAAAGAGCTACAAAACAATGCTGGAATTGAGCTTAGTATAGCTATTGACCCTGCAATGGCGACAATTATAGCACAGAAAATGTTCAAACTATACTGTGCTTATTTCGAAGTATTTCTCCATCTGCAGGTATGTTGAAGTTATTTGTTGGTAACAGAGTGTTCACAAAAAACAATAGATCAGTCGAATTTCTCAAAATAAAATGCAGGAACCAAAACATGAACCTCACACCAGACATACTTATTTTGAGAGCCAAACTTGTTCGAGTTCTTATTCTTAAGCGTAAATACTTTTTCAGTTCAATAATTCAACTGTTATTAATAGAAAAAATTGGTGATAGGGGTATGTTTCTTAATATAAATGGTTTTTCCGTGATTTTACGTAACGTAATGAATGAATGAGTGAATCTTGAAATTAGAGGCATTCCGGCCACCATAAGGAGCCAGTACATAGGCCGCTTAAGCGGACCCTTATGCACCACTACATTCTTTATATCACAAGCCTCGCCCTTTTAGCGGAGTTGAGAATCGCCTTGAGTCCAAGCTCGTTGATGTCCTGAGGGTCCAAAGTAATGGACCCCAGTATAGTCTGCCTATAGTAGCTCAGAGCTTCACAGCGACACAAAACGTGCGCCGAGGTCTCTTCCTCTACCCCGCAGCATTCACACAAGGGATCTCCAGCCACCCCCATCACATGCAGGTGGCGCCTTAACGTGTTATGGCCAGACAACAGTCCCACCAGCAACCTTAGGTTGGCTCTATCCATAGATAGGCAGACACGTCCATCATTAGCACTGGGCCCTTCAATGAGTTCCCGTGCCTGGCGGAGATGTCTGGAGTTTACTTCTTCATTTCTGAGAGTGTTGTCTTGCAACCCACGTCTCCATTTTCCTCCTAGCTCTATGCGCGGTCACTCCTAGAGCTGGCTCAGGACCAACGAGCTTGCTGGCTGATCCAGTCTTCGCCAGAGTGACCGCCGTCTCATTGCCCCTTATCCCAGCGTGCCCCGGTACCCATATTAACGATACCGGATGCCTCGCTGAGAGGCAATCCAAAGCCTCCCTGCATTGCAATACAGGACTCGAAGTAATCTTACAGGCACTTAGTGCTTTCATTGCAGCCTGGCTGTCGGATAAGATTGTTATTCTTCTCCTAGGCCCCCCTCATCCAGAATGTGGGATACACAAGCCAGAATCGCTAAGATTTCCGCCTGGCAAATAGTGGTATATAAACCGAGAGGCAGAGATAGCCTAGTTCTAGGCTACATAACGTAAGTTAATGTTGTAATTCGTTAGATGCTGTAATTGGTCGAGAGTTCATGTAAATATTCCGAGAGCGCGTATAGCAATATAAAAAATGTCAAGTAGGCTAACTCTGCACTTCCCACGCCACGCCGTCATCGGTTCATAAAGGATTATGTTCAGCGCAAGTTAACCCCTCTGAGAAAACGGAGAAATTAAACGGATCAAGTTAGCCAAACACTTAGGAGCATATGAATACACTAACAACAAAAGATTGAGATGTATCCTCCCCCAATTTTTATCTCCTGCAAAAAAAATTGAATTACTTTTTTTCCGTTTTTGGCCTTTACCTCTCTCGCCTCTGGACCGATTTTCAAAAACTACAAAGGTTTTTCGTCTTTGGCATAGTAACCATAGACCGTCAGACATACAGAGAGACAGACCGGCAGAAATGAGCGACATGGTTTTGGGTGATGGACATGTCATATAACATCCAAAAACATACTCACTTTTCGCGGTTGCAATACTTCCTTGTCAGTAGGCGTGGGAAGTAAAGCTATATTGATATATTGATACTTTTTCCAACTATTTGGTATATTTACTAGTACAATAAGTTTTTTCGACCAGCGTGCTGAAAGTGCCACTTTTCCGCACGGCATGCGGAAAAGTAAAAATGTTACCATGTTGTGTTAATTATCATCACTACGACCCTACCCAGGATCTTCAAAACTCAAACTTGTTATTAACATTAATAATAATGAAATTTAATTATTTACATTTTTTGTTATCGAAGTATACCGGGTGTCAACGAAATCATTTTACAAGGCACTATTCAATTGCTGTTTAAAGAAGAACTTTGAAATTTTGTGTGAAAATATGACTTATAAACACTCAGATTATCCATTAAAAAACAACTGAATATCGAAATAGAGGCAAAATGGATTCTCTTGCCGCTTCTACAATGAGTTGACAAAACAAAAAAATTGTCATAAATTTGGGACCATTTTTGTTTTTACTCAAAATGACAAAAAGTATTTAAAATTTTCTCAGAATTTTGAATAGGAAACGAAGCTTTCTAAATGCTAACAATAAAGAGCGTCTTATTTCCGAAAGAAAAATTATCAACAGTACGTTTCTTTTAACGAAAATTAACATAGTAAAAACGAAGTAACAAGAGTAACTAAATAACAAATAACTTAGCAGATAAATTACTAATTAAAAATTAGGAAAAATCATTCAATTAAGTGTTCTATGCGTTTGCCACCGAGTTGTTGACACAACCTTACTCTGTTGATGTTTTCTATAAGCAATTTTCGATGTTCTTGAGATACGTTTTCAATGGCTCTTCTAATTCTATTTTCCAGTACTTCGGACGGTGGAGGAGTGGCATAAACTTTTTCTTTTAGATAACCCCAAATTAAAAAATCCAGAGGGGTTAAATCTGTCGACCTTGCAGGCCAACGGATTGCAAGAAGCAAGTATTGTTTCGGTTAAACATCCCTAGACTAGTAAGCCTGGATTCATCCGAACAAATAATATGGTGATGGAAGACAGCATTTATGTTCAAATTATTCAAAAACCAGTTGCAGGAATTAAGCGGTCTTGGAAAATCATTTTCAATCAGATGGCGATGAATTTGGTACTTAAAAGATTTAAAGCCATGTTTCTTTAAAAATTTTCTTGCACATTCGTGGGAAATTTGGACTGCTCACACTGCTCACCTATTTCGCGAGCAGAAGCAGTACGATCACATTCTACGTACCTTACCGTTTATTTCGACTTCTTCGCTTACTATAAAACCAATACCATGAACAGGATCGTTATGTTCATTTTTCAAATATTCTATGTGCCAATGATAATAGGAGTGTGATGGAGCTTGACGATCTGGAAACCGCTCCTGATATAATCTTGCTGGGCGTCTCGATTTTTTTTTTTTTGGCATTTACCAGCGGAAAACCGCTGCTAGGCAGCAGCGGTGGCCGCAGTAGTAGACTCTTCTGTCTCCTGATCAGTCGCCGTGCACTGTGCGGGTTCAAATCCCGTACCAGGAGAAACTTTTCTCTTGGCTATGGATGTTGTGATTGTCCGTAGGTGGTAGATGGTCTCTGACTGTCGAACGCGGAGGTACCAGCCGGCGGATCTCGTAGGCGGAGCCAGAATGTGTGCATGTTGCATGCACACGTGTTCCCTCGCCAGAGTCCGTGTGGCGTTCCCCCTTTTCCCTGTAGCCCCACGGTACCCAATGGGTGTTTAGGCCTTAGGCCTTCGTGGTAGTTGGAGTATATATATATATATATATATATATATATATATATATATTTAGAGATAATCCGACATACTTTATTAGTAGTATTTAGAAAACACCGTTTCCTATTCAAAATTCTGAGAAAATTTTAAATACATTTTGACATTTTGAGCAAAAACTAAAATGTATGCAAATTTATATTTTTTTTTTTTTTGTTTTGACAACTCAATGCAGAAGCTGCAATAGAATCGATTTTGCCTCTTATTTCAGCGGGTAGTTTGGCAAAAAATCCATATTGAATTTGGCGTAAATGCCATTTACGCCGCCATTTTGAAAATGAATGACAACTTGTGATACATCGTCGGAAAGGGAATTTTAAGCTTTTTGAAAGTATGTAAAAATATATACAGGGTCTTATTTAAAATTCTTGTTTCATACTCACTTCTGGTCAAACCGGAAGCGATATTCAGTTGTTTTTAATGGATAATCTGGGTTTTTATATGTCATATCTTCACACAAAATTTCAAGGTTCTTCTTTAACCAACTATTTCGTTGACACCCAGTATACGAGTATATTTCAATTGTTACAATATATTGTTGATTTCCTTATTACGCGCTGGTAGAAAACATGTTATCACTAACTCTTTCGGAACTTATCACTTTCCACATTTGCTAGGAAAATAACTATTTTATCTTTCCATAGAAATCCTGAGGAATGTTGTGGGTTCACCTATATAGAGAAGCTGGGTTGGAACATTTGAATCATCTAAATACTACCATCATTCCAGAGTTATTTGTGTTTCTCAGTATTACTAATTTATTATTAAGTCAAATATTGGCATATTTGTCGGGGTGTTTAATAAAAGTGTTTGTATGGTAATATTTTTTTATTTATCACTTTGCTTCAGTTCCAATACTTAAAGATCGACTTTTTTAGGATCGATGTCAACGATCTTGCAGGATTTTTCGTATAGAGCCTTCGCCAAATTTTCGTCGTTCACCACATCGCTTGGATCTTTTATTTCACAATCACTGAAAAAAAGAAGATTTTCAGTATGATTAATTACACCACCCAACTCCGAAAATGTTTCGGGTTCAGAAACAGCTATTTCTTGAGCATTTTGTCTGACTAAACACGAAAATCTTCATAAAAAGTTCAGATTAGTTCTTCTTTACAAGATATGGAACCTACTTCGGGTAATAAAATCTCACTAAGCACTGTGGTTCAAAAATCTAAACACGAAAATCTTCATAAAAAGTTCAGATTAGTTCGTCTTTACAAGAAATGGAACCTACTTCGGGTAATAAAATCTCACTTATCACTGTGGTCCGAAAATAGTATTCATCTCATAAAAAACAGAATATTCAGAGTACTAAAAATGACAAATAAGCCCTTTTTAGTTGGTCTGAAGTAGGAGCCTTAATAACCTTAATATCATAAAAGATAGGTAAACAGAATATCAGTCAGTTTAGTTTTGTGACTGTTGTGAATGGATGGTTTTTAAGTGTTTTCTAAATTATTCTGAGCTTTTTTGTAAATAATATTTTGGTGTAAACGGGTTAAGTAGTGTTGCCATTTATGCTCCGTATGATCGTTATATAGTATACCTGAAGTAGTATCCTGAAACTTTATGCAACGTTGGTTCCACCGCAAGATAGACGATAGTCTGGCAACCCTGTCTGGGTGACTTCAAAAAGAGCCACATCCACGGCCACACAGAAAGTCTCGTAAGAAACGACTTGCTGAGGGTTGAATATTTTTCTGTATGTTTAGTGTCTCGTACCAAACCTGGGCTTACGGAATTGAACGTGATTTTCGTCTCTGGAAAATATTAATATTCATTATGTATATGTATATTTTGTATGTCCAACCAACCTTATCCTGTGCTACTTGCTTCTTATTAAGAGTTATCAGTACTGTACAGCTTATGAACAAGGAATGAAAACTGAGAGCACCGACTCTGGCAAGAGATAGCAATGGACTATTTTCGAAAATTCTTAATTCTATTTCTATCTGGCTGAGGATACACTATTTCTTATTGCCTACCTTTGTACTGCTCTGCCATATGCTTAGTGAACATCGTCAATGCCAATTTGCTTTCGGCATAAGCATCTTTCTCGTTGAAATTCTTCTCGTTGTTCAAGTTGTCCAGGTTCAGTTTTGCGTTGAAGTGCGCCATTGCTGAGACGTTGATCACTCTGCCGTTTTCTGATTTGTTTAACGCTGGTAGCAGCAAATGGGTCAAAAGGAATGGACCTAAATAGAAATACACCTAAGTAACTCCATAAATTATTTTTTACTGACGTTTCGGCCACCACTTTGGCCTTTTTCAAAGTACAGATCCATGACAATTACAGTTCGTTTGTTTTTACTCGTTACTATACATAGTGTGTTGCGTCCACTGACGACTAAAAAAATAGTCCGTGATCGCGACAAAAGCCAGAACGGTCTTGTGATACGTCGAGATCCCACGAAGTCATCTTTACAGTCATTATATTTTCGCAGATTCGGAGACGTTTCGATACTTAGGGTGATGTTAAAGATGATAGAATGTGGCCTGGCACGTATACAGTCCTTAACAACAAAGCTTGGGATAAGATTAACACCTGATGTTAACTTATTATTTAGTTTCCAAGACGCTTCTGCAAAGACATCAGCCTGTTGGAAAACCGAGGCAACTCTAAATTGAGATTGCTTACATCAGACAGTTGGTAAACAGTAGAGAAATAGCTGGCAAATTCATTTACAATTTCTTGTGGACATTTATTGAAATAAAGCTTTGATTATCTAATTTGTTTTTTTTTTACGAAAACAATGCACTCTACGAAAAAACACAAGAGTAATTATTTGTAGCAAATTGAAGCTACAATTCGAAAAATTGGTCATTTCGAAAAAAAACACTTACCAAATTTAAGTTATTCCAGTTGACGACTTTGAAGATATTAGAAAAAAATGTTTTTTATTTTATAAACTTCAACACCCAGTATCTTTTTAATGAAGCCCTGAGAAAAAAATGTTACATAGCAGACCCGCTTTAAAATGCGGTCCTGTCTATGATGTTTCATTTTTGGTCACGACTTGTGAATATAAAAGGTGCATAATAAAACAAATAGTAGAAGATTAAAAATTTTAAAAAATAAGGATGTTATTACACAGACTTTTTGATATTCTCGACCACTGCCGTGTAAAATCTTAGCGTTTTCTGTTTACTACCCTTATAGTTTATCTAAATTTGGCAAACCTTTTGTGTTGTTGTATGGTTTTCAGTACAAGCCTTTGGTTCGATCAGTTGTATCAGTCTTTTAATAGTGCGTATACTTTCATTTGTCTGACGACTTTGTGCGAAAAAATGGCCCATGTTTACGAAAACAATGAACTAGTGACCATAATACTAACATACGGAGAGAGCCAACAAAATGCAGCCGCAGCATGCAGGTGTATGAGGAAAGGTTTTCTTTAAGAAATCGTCCGTCCCCACGGATGTTTGTAAATAAAGTTATTAGACTTCGTGACAAAGAACAACGAGGAGGGCGAGACCACTTTACACGAAATTGAGTGCACTTTTATATAGGTGTGGTATATCAACTTCTTTTAACGAGTTCTACAAGCTGTTAAAATATCTATGATGATAGCCGGATGATATTTATTTTTCAAGACTACGGGATACCAGTCTCTCTTTGCTGAACCCTCTCAGCTACACATCACTAGATCTAGAAGACGACCATCAGTATTCATCATCATTCATAACATCTGTTGACTGTTATCTACCTGAAGATATCCAACCTAATGCTATATTCCGGCGTCCAAAAAATATGAGATAAAATGAGATACTACGATATCTATGAGAACTTGTCACAGCTATGTTTCTTCCCTACGCAATAATTGGAAATCTACGTTGAAAATGTTAGTATCTCATCACGCTAAGTTTATTCCTTAAAAGTTTTTTTCTTATAGATTGTTATTGGACCCCAAATACGCTGATGTTTTGCTTCATCATCAGAAGGCCAAGCTGTTGTCTTTTATATTATTTTCTCACAAGAGAAACATATTGCCCTTTTCTCCGTTTCTTAAGGAATAAGTGGCGTGTGTGTGTTTTTATTTTGGCTTTTAAAACATCCGCGAAAATTACCTTGTTAGATCTGAATTGTGAAGCTGTTTGGGTTGTTGCCCGTGAAATATCTGAAATTTGAAGTTTGCGTTTAAAATATACCACTTCTACTTTATAAAATTTCAGTATACCGCAATTCCAAGACAAATCTAGAGACACCTCGTATGATTGAAAGGACATTTACGGATGTAAATTGGCGCCAGAAGGACGTATTAGATGGCGTCGTTACCAGCAGAGCCCAGCACTGATGGATTCCATCAGATTATTCCGCTGAATAAAAGAAAGCACCCAATACTCAGTGTCGCTTGCGCTGTCTAGTTAAATATAGAAACACCTCATATATCAAAATTCATGAAGATTTTTACGCTGAAATCCGTGAAAGAAATTCAATCTTCATTTTGTTTGACGATTTCTGATATTTCGGGTCCATGAACAATGCATATGTAGTGTATAATCCGTTAATGCTTTTGGTGAGCATCGCAACTAAAGTTAAAGTCGAGCTGCCGTCTGGCTGCTTTTGGTGACAACAGTGTGTTAAGTATTTATTCAAAGATGAACAAGAAGGAGATTACGATTAACTATTAGATTAGATCGAGAACTTACCTAAATAGTTGGTAACGAAAGTGAGCTCATTTCCCTCAGATGTCCTCTTGTACGGATGGAATATGATCCCAGCATTGTTTATCAAAATATCGATCTTCTCGTACTCATCGATAATTTGCTGGGCAAATGCACGAATGCTTGAAAACTCTGACATATCGAGGATTTTCACCGTTACTTTAGCCTTTTGATAGAAGTTTTTTATTTCTTCTACTGCCTTCGTACCCTTTTCGGCATTTCTGATGGCCAATATTATGTTTGCCCCTAAAAAAAAGCGTGAGTTAAGGGTGTTGTATTCCTACTATACAGAGTATTCAAAGAAACATAGCAAATAACAAAAAGTTCCTATAATGTGTGACCTAAACTATCCTATTGCCAAGGTAAGTTGTGTTTACGCTACTGTTGAGACTGAATAAGGATATAACCTGAATATTCTTCAAATAACGTCATAGTGAGATGGAAATACCCTCTTATTACCCTACATAAAATTTTCGAGGAAGGTTTAGATATGGTATTATCCGCGAAAACATACAGAGTATTCAAAAAGTATGGATTGATTAAAATAACTTGAAAAATAAGCTTCCTAGAGAAAAATGTTCTAGAACAAAGTTGTATGGTTTGCAAAGATTCATCCACGGGTGATCTTGAACGTGACCTTGACTATGTCCTTCAAGGTAATTTGAAGGACAAGACAGTTTTCTTAAATGAAACTCCCATTTTTGATACCGGCATTGATATAATAACTTGAAAAGTGACAGATGTCGATCACTTCATGCTCAGTTCTGGCAGGCGCGAAATGAACTATTTCACTTTAGCAGCTGTTTAGTCAGCAAGTTGATATTTTATCCATTTTTTACATTATATACGAGCCCCTTCCCACTTCAATTGGCCCACTTCAAGATTTGTACCAAAATATGTCTTTATAAACTAAACATGACGAAACTTCTAAAACAATTTATTTTCTCAAAAACATTTTAGGTACACTCTAGTCGTAAAAAATACATATTTGAAATCACTTAGACCTATAACTAATAGAACATCTGAACAAATAAACAATGTGCGAATAAATGCGCGAAGTTAACGAAGCAACAATTGAAAGATTACCATTGGGTAACATCACCTTTATTTTTTATTACGGCTGAAATTCTTTGGGGCATAGTGTTAACCAAGTTTTGGCAAAAATTTGATGTAAAACAATCCCATATTTCTTGAAGTTTCTGTCTCAGTTCGGTGATTGTACGAGCAGGATGTTGTCGTAGAACATTTTTCATCTCGTGCCACAAAGTTTCAATAGGTGACAGATCTGGACTGCTAGAAACCCATTACAAAAGTGGTATATTATTTTCTTCCATCCATTTTATAGCCTTTTTTGAGGTATGGCACGCTGCACCATCTTGCTGAAACACAAAATCTTGGCCGTATGTCAAACATTCTTCCATCACTGGTAAAAGCGATTCTTCTAAAATTGCCAAATAGTTGTTTGTATCCACATTTCCATCAATAAAATGAAGTTTTCCTACTCCTTTTGATGACATACTGCTCCAGACCATAATGGATGCTGGAAATTTCACTTTTCTCTTCAGACAGTCAACATGGAATGCTTCATTTTTTTGCGAATAACTCTACTGCGACTGTCACCAACACAAACTTCAAATCGGGCCTCATCACTCCATTGTATTGCACACCATTGTTGAGGTGTCCATTGTCTATGTAGGATTTTTACTTCACATTTTTTTATAAGAAAACTTACCTTGCAAGTGCTAAATCCCAGCGTCACTGCACAGAGCGCTTAATTGTAAATAATTGGCACGCCTGTATATATTAACTGAACCAGTTACGTTATATCTTATAACAATATTTCTCACACTGTACCGCGATAAGTCTAACAAAGTTGCAATTTCTGAGTTTGATTTCCCAGAATTAAAAAAATTAATTATCAGTAACCGAATTTTCTCACTAATAACCTTTCCTCTACCCATTTTGAAAACCTTAACTACCCAAAACTATTTCAAACGTATTCTGACAGCTGTGATTAATAAAAAAATTGGCTTTTATTTTTCGGGTTAAAGCTTTATACGAATTTTACCTGAACTATTTAAACCAATTTTCCTTGTACAATTGTAATACCTTATTCAAAAATTCAATAGATGTTACAAAAAATGATTTTTTTATTCTTCTATGGTGGTCAAAATGTCCCATTTTCTATGCCACGGATGCAGTCTTAGGTACTACAATTTTTGCATGTATTGGTTGTGCTGTTTAGATGACATGTACAGGATGGCAATTTTCAAGTATGTGAAATGGCCGCTAGGAGGCGTAACTGCAATCCTGAATCTCAAAAAGTGATGTTTCTGTGAATTCCGCTATATTAACCTAAGAAAAAATATATCATCTTTGAATTCGGAAATAATGTGAACTTTTTTGTTTGACAATTTTTGATGTACCTCTAAAAATAAAAAGTGGTTGGGGGTATTCAAAGGTTTCCTTAAAAAACACCCTGTATCTCCGAAACGGCTGAGCCGATTTTAACAATCTTGGGCTACAAATGTTATAATATTTAAAGAAAAAGTCATTCCAATGCGTTTAATTTTTTGAGAAAATTAAGCATTTCAGTCGGTATGTCGAAAAAAGCCCTCTAGCGGCCTCATGTGAAACTAACAAAACTTAAATATTATAACATTTGTAGCACAAGGATGGCTATTTTCAACTAGCCCAAGTTTGTTAAAATCGGCTCAGCCGTTTTGAATACACATGGTGTTTTTTAGGGAACCCTTTGACTACCCCCACAACTTTATTTTTCATCATCAAAAATTGTCAAACAAAAAAGGTTCAGACTATCATCGAATTCAAAGATCAGGTATTAGTTTGTTGGGTTAATATAACGGTATTCACAAAAACATCACTTTTTTAGATTCAAGATTGCAGTTACGCCTCCTAGCAGCCATTTCAGAAACATGAAATATACTTTCCAGGTTTTTTCTTGGCCGTTTTAGTAATAACTGTTTTTGCCGCAAGCCTCCATGAAAAATGTTTACATGAAGTTTTCGTGTTATATTTTTAACGGTAAAATTCTAAGCTTAGCTGCAACAGCCGTTTTTGATGAAGACATGATTTTAGACCTAGTCTTTGGGTGTAGAAGAAAGAAATATGTAGATCTAAAACTAGGCACAAATTTTAAATTTCTGGAATATTTTACTATATTATTTCTTATAGCCTAACCTTAATTGACTGGACTTACAATTTGGGCGTTTTTTAATATACTTTGATGTGGATTATAAAATTTCCAATTAACACAGTTCAAAAACCATATATTGACCTGTCAACCAAAGGCAGAATTCTAGCCTGACTGAGAAATATTGTAACTGTACTCTGAACCACCATAGGATGATACCGAATGTTAAATTCTTATAAAATCGGGCCATTCACCTCTTTTGGACAATTCTTTGGTTGTTTCCAGTCCAATACCGCTGGCTCCCCCAGTAATAATAACATTTTTTCCTTCAATTCTACCGGAACTTTCACATTTCGAACCTCCCATATAAATCCTGAAACAGAAGATGGATGAAATTATTTTTTATCAATAAAAATTGATTCCTCCACTGACCTTATAGCACTGATGATACTGATTATGAAGGATATAACGTAAGGCCACCAACTTTGTGTAAACTGGTCGAAATCGTTCATAAAAGCCTCGCTCATTGTATACAGATGTTCAGCTATCGAAAGAAGTCGGATAAGTGCCAAAAGCCAAAACTGAAGGGAAGTAGTTTGATTGTAATTGTTTGAAATTAGAGCGGAAATTCAAATTAATAGTTTCCCTCCCTCTCCTGTGCCGGTAAGGAAGATAACTGTGTCAGTCTGCGTAGAAATATGGCAGAGTCTGTTGCATAAGTCGCAGGCGCTCCGTATATAGCGCAGGTACTGTTCGACGAGGTATGATCATGAAAATAATTCAAATAAAAACTCAAATATGACATTTGAATGTATGTACATTTAGATAGTGGAACAATATTTTTTTAAATCATACAAATTCAATTATTGTCTATGCATGAAAGATAATATTTCTAGACAAAAATTGAAATAGTTTTTTGATAAAATCGGCATGCCGATAAATTAGCCGAAAAATGGGTTATTTTTGTATAATAATAAGCAAGAAGAGAAATATGATATCAATAATCTACTATGGAAAAAAATTTATTAAATCCAAACGGTCCTACAAAGTAACCAGTCTTTATTTCTAATAACATTCAGTGATCACAAAAACATTATCGAGCTCCCGTTCAGATTTTAGCAGTGACAAAAGAATTGCAAATATTATTTCGCGCACAACGATCGTATTGGTTGACCAATCACAGGTTAGACGTTACCTGAACGGCTATTTCTTTCAACTACGAGTGAAAAAACATTCATTCCTTTCCTGTTTTTTTGCGGTACTGAAATGGAATTCTATTGGCTCGTTAGCTCGTTTAGCCAATAACAAGTTTAAAGGTATAATGTCTATCTTAGTTACAATCTACTATCCATAAATGCCGATCCGTAATGAATGTGCTAAAAAACAAACATGGATTTCAAATTTCTCTTTTGGTAAAATGTGCGGTAGTTTAATTTTCAAAATTATTTATGTCTCTCTAAGTCAAGTTGTTTTTGTAGTATCAACAGAAAAATTGGAAATATGAGGCGTCCAAAAATGAGAAACACGATCAACAAAGCTTGTACAGGGCACTAGTTATAGCCTACAATCTCGATGCTACTATGGCATAAATTTTTTGCCAGTACCCTTCCATTATTTTTTCACAGTCATGATAAAGTGACGATGTTTAAGGAAAAAAGTAACTTTGTCTATTTTGATTCAACATTCGTTTCTTGGCATACATCATTCTATTACACATCAGGAACAGTTAGAAGCAAAGGTGTACCAAGGGGGGGCAAGGGGGGCAGCTGTCCCTCCTTTTCCCTTGCTCGGCAAAAATTGAATGGAGATAAGATTATTTCAAAAATTAAATTATTATATATTATAATTACCAAAAATGTATAATATGTCATGCATTTGCATTGCTAAGCCTTAGTTATTTCAGAAAAAAGGAATTTCCTAGGTATGCCTTGAAATTATCATATTTCATTTGTTTCGTATACCAAACCAGACCTCAAATTGAGCATAGCAACAGAGTTTGGAAGTCTTAGAAGAATAGAAATTAATCGAGCCGTGAGCAAGATTTATCTGTGCTTATTTATGATTATTATTAATACCATCAATAAAATTTTAGCGTTGTGTTCAGGTTTCACCATACCCTTTTATTTCCTTATAATTTTCATCCAACAACAAATTTATGGCAACTGAATTTGGGACATTTAAATGTGACTGAAACAAACGCATAGAAATGTACTCGTACTTTCGAAGCTACGCGCAGCGGCGAATGGCGAAGCGACCGGCGAAATGTACCCAGCTAACCGCACGGGCGACTGACGGCGCGGCGGGTGAGTGAAACAAAGGCATGAATCACTACGGCGCAAGCCACGGAGTAGAGCGGCAGTCGTGGCGAATAGTGCAGTGAACAAACTAATTTAGTTTTTTTTGTCCAGAAAAATGAACACTGAAGCTTTTATCATTGAAATACTTGCTACTCCAGCTATTTAAAAGTCTGGCCACCCACAGCAGTCAAATGAATAACATAGTATTGTAAAGTATTTTAATTTCATGAAATATTAATATACAGGGTGACATTTAATTAGCTAACCATATTTTGGGCAATAATATTTCCCAAAAAAATTTAGTTATGAAAAAATTATGTTTGCGACGATATGTTTTTTCGGGAAAGTTATTTATATTGATGGGTACTATCATTCCCCAGGTAATTCTCTAGCTTAGCTACACCAGCCTTTTCTGTTTCCCCGTCCGAATTGGCACTAGGTTTGATGAGAAACGAGATTAGAAATGGCAACAAATGTGTTAGTTGCAGAATATATTGTTAATATTATCTGGGTTTTGAAATATGTAAACACTCTCTTAATCACTACATTTGTAGAGTGGAACTGATCCTATACATATCGTGCAGTTGCCATATGCAAGAAATATAAAAAAAATAACGAAAATATGCATGTTCACGCGTAGCAGCGCTCCTAGTCTAGAATTTCTCCCCCTTTGAGTCACGGTGCTCTAGACGTTATTTAGGGTTTTGTGGAGATCGAGGTCATACTTACAAATTTAATTATTAACACCAAAACCTATGAAGCATTGAAATCTGGCAACATAGCACAGATTCAATAAAAACCTATTGTATAGTAAAATATTTTAGAACTTTCATGTTTGCGCTACACCCAAAAACTAGGGTCTGAAATCATGTTTTCATCAAAAACGGCTGGTTTAACTAAGCTAGAGAATTACCATCCCCCAAAATATGCCCAGCTAATTAAATGTCATCCCTTATATATGTAGATAGATACATACCTCAATCTCAAAAACAATTTTTCAGTGACACTTAAAATTCTATCTCCACTGAGTTTTTCTCAATTCTGGTTGAATATTAATTAGAATATAATCGAAGGTTTCGACACTCTCTCTGGTATGCCCAAAAACATTTTCTGGATACATTCTGTATTTCTCATACTTCTTGTTGAATTCTCCACCTCTACCCCGATTCCTATTCAACTCATTTTCTCCACAATCTCTTTCATATATTGTCTTGAACCACAAAACTATTACTTTCTAAGCAATATCGAGAAAATGTTGATAATGGCATTTTGCTCTCGGCCGATACTAGCCGCGGCGGCGAACGTGACTGCCCGTGGCCGGCTTACTGTGCCGCGCGAATGGTCGTCTCGCCCGCCGCATCGTCGTTCGCGCCGCCCGTCCCCGTGGCCAAGCAGATAACGTCCACTAGAAAACAGTTGATGATGGAAGACAAATTGGAAATTTGACTACACCATCTTGTAAAGGAGAATAAGTAACTATGAGAACATACAACTTAATTTGAAATCTCGTCTCAAATAAAGTCAGGAAAAAACAAAAGTGATTTTGGGGTAAATCTGGTTTGGAAAACAAGTGACAATCTGATAATTTCAAATTAACTAAAATTTGGCAATTCCAATGTAGGGCGTATCATACATTCGGCATCAGAATTAAGAACTCTATACATTTGTCCATAAATCCGATACGACGCCCATAATAAAAAATGAAGTTGATGCTGGAAGGCAAGAGACGAAACGTCATATTGAAATTCTAATTATGCCATTCTGTAGAGGAGAAAAAATGACAGTGTTAATGTGCTAGTTATTTTGAAACCCCACTATAAATTAAGTCAGGAAAAAATAAAACGATTTTGGGAAAATTCGGAAGTACTTTGAATTTCGAAATTTTCTAACCGGCATTTTGTTACCTGAATACGCAACTTTGCCCTTATTCAAGCGATCTCGTAACTCTTACACTTTCCGAGATCCAAATGGCGAGGGTCGAATTTGAAACGCCCTAAATAGTTACGTGTGGCTCAAATTCGAACCTCGCCTTTGGGATATCGGGAGCGGTAAAGCGATTGTCACACGATCAGTATTTACTGTGGTCCGTACCATCAGTGAATTTCTGCGTAACATGATACATCAATAATTAGTAACGTCCAGGCCAAACTGTCAATAAATATCACATCTCATGATAAATATACGAAGAGGGCTACGTTATGGGAGCAAGTTGCTTAGGTAAATAAAAAATAGAATTTGGACAGTTTGGAAATTCAAAGTGACAATAAATCATATTGATATTCTATTTATGCGACCTTGCAGCATATTATACTTCTATTTTAGTTCACCGTATTTTATCATCACAGAGCCCTGCTTACCTGAAAAGAAAATTAGTCTTTAGGCGTGATTTGCATGATTTAAATACGAGGTTCACTAATAAACTTTCTCTTCCTAAGTTTCGTTTATCCTTATTTAGAAAATCTTTTTCATATAATGCTGTTACTATATACAATAGTATCGATGACGCGCTTAAGTTTAGTTCTGTACCGATGTTTAAAGTCCTGGTAAGGCAATTTTATTACAATGGTCAATGTAATGGATAGTTCAATAGTTTTTGATTATATACTCTTCGCTTTGCGGTTTTGTGTCTTAGGCTTTTGTTTATTTTCATTCAAATTATCTCATATTTTCTATGCTATTTTATATTTGATCACTTCTGATGATTGCATTTTATGTATTATCTGTGGCTTTTTTCCTTGTTAGCTTTTATTTAGGGTTAAGTAGAGTAGCTTAGGCTAGACTTCGCCCTGTTGCAGATTTCTGCGTTGTATATAACAATGCTCAATAAAGACATAATAATAATAATAATAATAATAATAATAATAAAAAAGGTAGCAATGTCATTGCGCAGTTTCTTTTGAAATCCTATCTCGAATAAATTCAGAAAAAAATAGAAAGAATTTTAGGAAAATTCGATCCTTTTTCCGTTCATTTCTGGACATACTGGAAGCGTCAAAACTTTCCAAATGCATTTTCTAAAGTAATATATAAATACTCAACTTTGCCACCATTCAACCGACCCGTATCTCTTACTGTTTCGGAGAGGGTGAAAATGTGTCAAATTTGTTTTTCAAATCATTCGACAGTAAACTGTGTAGGTACATATCCTTGTGCATATTTTATAAAACTATTTATGACTATATGACAGAAATTTCAAGTAATTCTAGCATAACACCGAATACATATCGACAAATTATCACCGTAATTACCATAACATGATATCCCCAGCTATAATGAAACTTCTCTTTTTGAAAAGACATATTAGAATATATAATATGTACGGGGTTCCATTACAAAAAATTGTATAAGACATAACCATTTTGAATGTCTTTTCATCCCTTTCTCAATTCTTCTATAGAAGTTTGTTAAAAAAAGTGTCCTAGAATTTTTTATTCCGAGATGAGGGGCTTTTGCATTCACTCTAAATTATAATTTCTTTTACAACAGGGTTCACATTTGGCTTGCTTGAATGTTTCAAAAAAAGTAATCTTAGTAGTTTTCCCTGTATCCCCCTATAGCCCCACGGTACCCAATAGGTGTTTAGGCCTTGCGCCTTCGTGGTAGTTGGAGTATAAATAAAAATATCCATATGGATCGGCAAATCATCGTGAAAGACTCTATATAAACGAAATGCAAATATAGATATGATTTGTGGAACTTCCACCAAATTTTTTTTGACGCTGTACGCCTTCCGTGTTGAGCTGGGTACGCCCTTGGTTAGGAGCAGAATGTGTTTTGGACGAAAAATGAATTATGCAGATTGACTGGACTATAAACAAAAGGGAAATGTCATTCATGCCACTCCTTTCTAAGGTTCTGCTATTTGTTGATAGATGTCGCTGGCATACAATTTCTCCAATTATTGTCGGAATGTGGAAAATGGCTGTTTGTATGTAGACTTGTAGAACTCTAGTTACAAAATATACGCGAAAATCTTGCAGTGCCGCGAAAGTGAGTAATTTTCACAATATTATGTGCAGACATCCTGTGCTCTTGGTTGTTCATCAATAAGAATCCCACTAGATCTACAAGGTAAGATTATTCACCATTCCTGTACACTCTCAAGTCGAAAGTTGATGTAACACTTTTTGACGTAAATACTACACATGTTTTACGCATTCGGGCAACTCAGAATTGTCCCAGGAGAAAATAGAATCAAGGCAAACCCATATGCTTCAAACATGTGGAAGATTTAGATGATGAAACTCGCCCTGTACCCTTTTGTAGTGGGAGGATACTTCTGTCCAAAATACCTGTGTAGGAGGAAATGTAGTATTTGTAGCTGTGTAATATTTATAAACAGCAATTTCCTTTGTGAAAGTATCTAGGGTTTATTTTTAAGCCGTTTTTGTATTGTGAACCAACAAATTATTTTGCATAATCCATGCTAACTTGCGAATTCTCGTGAATTAATTTGTATGGTCCCTGTCATAGTTGGCCTTGGCATTGAACTTTATGTTGCCTCTTCAATTATGCTCAATTTTCAAGGTGGACTAGGATTGTGTGTTGGAATTTTTCGTTTGTTTCGGCCGCTACATTGATTTCACCAGTCATTTAGAATGTATCACGTGAGCTGGTGATTTTTAACGCAAGATTTTTTTAGTGGATGAAAAAATCACTTTTTGAGCTCTTACAGTGCATGGATTTGGTAGGGTATTTTCTTGCTGAAATCATTATACGTTTTTTATTGTTTATGTTTATGGAGCATTCCATTGAAAAGCTTGCTTGAATCACATCTAAATAAGAATTCTTCTTTTTGCCTTTCCAACTAGATTTTTTTTTCATAATCACGTTTGTTGGATGAATGAAGAGGTTTCGGAGATAACCAAAAAAGGTACTTAGTGACCTATTTAGTCTAGAGTTGACCGTTTTCCAGTTATAAGCCATCTAAAGTTGGAAAAACCCTAAAAATAAGCATTTTCTATCCTTGAAGACCCTAATAAAAATAATTATTTTTAATGTTGCCAGGCATCTATACTAAAATTTAATTCTTGAGATAACACTAAATGATCATAAAAACCCTATCAAGCTGAACGCTCAGATTTTAACAGTTAAAATACAGATTTCAGACGTGTAAGTAAACTTTTTCATAAACTCCTACTATCATTTGAAAGAAGTACATTCACAAAGATTATGAAGGCTCCTTTTAAAATGATTTGGACACCTTCATGACACATAATATTTTAGTAAACGTAACATTGTTTTTAACATATAAAGAGTCGTTTATAGTTAACATTTTAAAGTTTATCCCCAACTGCCGAAGCGTGATATTTTATATTAACTTTAAATATCATGTTATCAAATTCATCACATGATATAATACATACTTATTAACACGTATAACCCACTAGTTATCTCTATTGATAGCCAGTTTGAAGTGGGGGATCATCACTGTTGCAAAAATCAGTATTTACGTTGATATCTGTTTGTAGTTGCGGTGATAAAAATGACTTAATCTTCGCAAATATTCGAGGCCTTGATAGATAATATACGCGAAAGATTACAGCTTGGAAATGTTTAAATTATGTTGTTCGCTACAGCAGATTCTGCACTACAGTTGCATAAAAACATGTTTATCTTGCGATTATTATCAAAGTTATTTTTTATGTAGTTTGAAACCTTGAAAAGTGTTCATTTTGTACTTAAAGTTTCCAATTGAGCAATCCAATGACCTGTCAAATGTCATGGTAGTTAATCAGAATATCATAAGCCATCGGGGCCGAACAAGACGTAACACGTCCAATAGCGGATACTATTAATTAACGTATTTTCTACCTGAAGAAAGCCGACCATATACTTCATTCCGATGCTCAAAAAGAAATCTGAAAGATCCTAGCGTGGTCTTTCACATACAAAAATTAATTGATGTATACTTTGTAAAGAGTTACATTGTTTGGCTCTGCAATTGTGTCATAGATGGCGCAAGGATATATTCGTTCCCTTTTTGGCTCCTCTAGAGTCTAATTTAATACAGGTGGAATCAAAATCAATGAATTATTGATTTATCTAAGAAACTAAGTGGTAGATTTCATTACACTTTACAGAAATATGTCAGGGCAATACCTTGAACATATAAGAATGAGGAGCAGGAATCTCATGGGTCTATCTAGTAGGTCCAGAATACGACACCATTCACTGCCGATTTGAAAATGATGGAATTGTACGTTATCAAAACTTATGAATAGTTCAACTTAAAAATGTAGAAGAGGTTAGCGAAAACATTCGATCGATTTTCATGAGCATATAAAATTGAATGTTTTGGAATGGAAGTTAAGAGTTGATGACTGTAGCGTAGATAAAAAGGTCAGGAATAATTGTAAATAAATCGATATGATGTAGGTTACTACCATATAAATAGTTGAATGACGTCTGTGAGGAATGTTTTCGTATTCAGCATAGCCGATATTTTTTCCTGTTTCTTGTAATAAATCGTTGTATTCTTTTTGTGCGTCTATTTGGCAACAAAAATCAATTTTCACCTATTAAACTGCATAGTTTTTTACAACGTATGGAGGTTATAGAGGGTACCTAGCTGGAATTTTTCAAAAATTGTAACAGTCCAAAAATATCTAGACCGCTCGAGACAGCTTATTAAAAAATGCTTTCCTCAGTTATATCATTGATTAACGTATTTTGCCTGCTCCACATTGCCTTTTTATATCTATCATTTGCTCTTTTCTCTTTCATATGAAAAACAACGAAAACCACTAAATAAAATAAAGCAGCAAAAGCAGAAAAGCAACAACAAAAACGAGTATTCCGCGTTTCAGCAAAGAAACTACTCAAGGATAATTTAGGTTTAGTCTTTCCCCTATCTGAATTGGTCCCGTCACTATATCTAGCAATTATGTTTTTTTTTGTATTCTCCAAAAGCCAGCTTAGAAACCTATAAAATTTAGTTTCAGTGTTCAATTTTTCAAAAACTTGGGGCCTCGCGTTACCTATCTTCAACAAAAAATGTGCATTCAAGATAATGACCTTTTAAATATCTTACAAATGTTTCTTTTGTAATAGCAATCCAGGCAATCTAGCGAAAATCGAATGCAAATCTTTTTTTCAGGTAGTTATTTTATCGCTTAGGGACTGGACCTTGGCTCCTTTCTTTAGCTCTAAAATCTAAAACACCCACAAATTAAATTTTTGAACACGAAAATCGGACAAAGAATGTTCAAGATATTGAAAAAAAAATGGCGACAAGTAGGTTGTCTCTACGCTTCCCATGCAACGCCTTTATCAGTACATAATCTGTTTAGCACAAACTAGACCCTCTGAAAAAAAAGTCAGTCAAACAGATTCATGCAATTAGTATCTGCCCTACCGGTAGTGTATCTGGAAAAGTCGCCTCTCCCCGGTACTTAACTCTGGCAGACGTAACACCCTGGTTGCGCTGTCAGATCATAGAGAACACTATGCTGTTGCACGACAGAAATACGTGTGATTCCATATCAGAACACTCATCACGGTCGACGCACGACTCCAGCAGCAGTCGCGGCCGATAGGTTCGCGATTCGTCTCCCGAGAATATTTTCCTAAGTTTGTTATTAGAGGCAGATGAGGAGGAAATAGAATATACCATCATCCATGCTATACTTACGAGGGATGTCTTTTAAGTTTTGCATATAGAAACATAGTAGGCCGCGCGGATCGAACGTCAGTGCTGAATCTTAACCTCACTCTTTAGTAAACTTAAATTCAAAGTTTCACAACAATACGTGCAGTGTTCTCACCTCAGTGAATTTTTAAGTGTCACCAAGTAATTAGAAAAATGGAACTCAACCAAAAACATTTTCGCGCCATAATTTATTACAACTTTCAGACAGAATTATCGCAACCAGAATGCCTTCCTGAGTTACTGGCTGTTTTCGGCAACGAAGCGCCACATCAGTCGACAATTTCCCGTTGGTATGGAGAATTCAAACGTGGACGGGTGAGTCTTAGCGACGATCCCAGGGTGGGTGCACCAAAAACGGCAGTCACCGAGGAAAACGTCGATGCTGTGCGCAAACTCATCATTGAAGATAGACATGTAACATATCGCGAGATTGAGGCGTCCTTCAAGATCTCAAAGACCTCAATTCAAAAAAATTTACATGAAGAATTAGGATTAAGAAAATTAGTTTGTCGTTGGATACCCCACCTGTTGACTGAAGAGCAGAAAGCAGCCAGGGTTAATTGTTGTCAAAAAACGCTTGACCGTTTCAATTCCGGAAACTCAAAAAACTGTGTACAGCATTGTTAGTGGTGATGAATCGCGGATTTACTGTTATGAACCAGAAAATAAACGACAGTCGGCTGTTTGGGTGTTCAAAGGTGAAGAAAAGCCAACAAAAGTCATCCGTTCTCAAAGTGTTTCGAAAACGATGGTCGCGACATTTGTGTCAAAAGAGGGTCATATTGCAACAATTCCTCTTAATGAGCAAAGAACTGTTACTGCGGATTGGTATACCACCATTTGTTTGCCAAAAATCATTACCGAGCTTCGAAAAATCAACCCCGAAAGAATAATCATCCTCCACCAAGACAATGCAAGCTCGCACACAACCCAAAAAACAAGGCAGTATTTAAGGGAAGAAAACGTGGAATTATTGGACCATCCTCAATATAGTCCCGATCTAAGTTCTAACGATTTCTTTACTTTCCCGAAAATTAAAAACAGTGCGTGGTTAAAGGTTCCAGTCACCAGAAGAAGCAGTTGACGCATTCAAAAATGCCGTTTTGAATCTGCCAGCAAACGAGTGGAATAAGTGCTTCGAAAATTGGTTCGAGCTCATGCAGATGTGTATTAATCTTCGTGGAGGATACTTCGAAAAACAATAAAGTCATTTAAAACTACCTACCGTGTTGTTTTATTTCCATATGCAAAACTTAAAAGACATCTCTCATATAGATAAGAGGCATTGCCCATTCAGTACAATCTAACTTGAAACTTGTCAAATGAAGCAAGAAGATTAAATTTTCGCTTTGAGAAGACGAATGAATATTTTAATAATACCTCCAGAAATTGTGACACATGCAATAAACTGAATAGTATAATTTTTGTTAAATATTTATTGCTAAATGTTCATAATAATTAAATCAAACCACACATGCCACTAATAACCAAAACAATTATCCATACAACCCACAGCGAAATTCCTACAAACGTTGATTTTTTAGGTTAAATAGTTATTCCAGACTTGCGACCACACCGATTCACCTGGATCGTGAATCGTCGTGACATAATAACGCCTAAATAAGCCTGCCTTATCCCTATTAATCTCCTCACAAATGCAGCACTGTATCTGCGCATGCGTAGTATTGTGATTTTTGGATGTTATATGACATGTACATCACGAAAACCCCGTCACTCATTTCCGACGGTTATAATATATAAAATAAAAAGTATGCCCTCAAAGAATTTATCAAGCAGAATTTTGTACAGCAACAGTGAAATACTGTTATTTTCAATAAAATGCAAATTTAATTGCTGTCATCAATCCAGATCTTGTATCAGATTTGTATCCATGCTCCGACTATGGCGCAAATAAAAATATAAAATCAGATCAGATTTACAAAAAATCGACCATATTCATTAGATCCATTACTTCAAAGACGCCATCTGGTTGGTTGAATTTGTGACCCAGTTTGTACATAGATTGCAGTGGCAGAATAGCTTCAAGCTAAACTTTGCCCTTTAATAAAAAGACGTTTATTATTATTATTATTATTATTATTATATATATGGATTCACCAAATTTTGTTCCAGTAAATGCGTTCTCACTTTTTCATCATTTATCCTTCCCATCAACTTTTATATTATATTTCGGAATGATTCCGGTTAACAGAAAAATGTCATCGTAAACAATTTTAAATCCCCAATCACAGTTGATCTCGGATATGCGGCCATTTTTTCTGCTTATCCAACTTATTTTCTTCTCAAAGGGGATCTCGGCCGGGCGAATCGTGGAAGGTTTCAGTCAGCGGTGAAGAAATCGAACTCCTGTTCATCTAGGGCTGCCGCACATTTAGCTATTAGTGACGACCACCACCAGAGCCCTTAGTGGTAGTCACACATTTAGGATTACATTTTTTCCTCCTATGCCATTGGCGAAGCAAGCATTGTAATCGGGAAAAATTTCGAAAGTGTATTATGTTTTTTTGGATATTATCTTACATCTACATCACGAAAACCAATTCACTTATTTCCGCTAATACTTTTTCCGCCTATAATTAAAATGAAAAGACAAATAAAAAACCGCCCAAAATACGTTTTTTGATGTTTCAGATGTTCTTGATCATCTTCAGAAAAGTTTGTAGGGGTTAAATATTTTGGTTGTACTGGGTGGGGGAGAGTATCATATCTCAATTTTTGCTTTTGCATATTTATACGCTTGTAATGCGGGTAATTTCACGCACATATTAGATATAGACATAATAGATTTCGTCAAGTGCTTATACCGGATGTTTCAAATTCAACCCTCACCATTGGGATATCGGAAACGGTAAAAGATGAGCAGTCGCTTATATGGAGGCAAAGGTGGGTGTTTAGGTAACTAACAAAATGTCGCTTTGAAAGTTTAGAAATTAAGAGTACTTCCGGGGCGAGACAAAAAAATAGTTATTTATTATACAGCGCGTCGGGAGACAATACAACCTCAAGCCAAAATCTAGTATTTTTCCTGTGTATAATACACAATTTTATCAATGACGAAGAAAACGATGATTTAATTTCGAAAAATTATGTTCTTACAATATTTAAGTCAGAAAATTATCGATGTGAAATTTGAATTTTGAAATTAGTACTTATAGCGACAATTAGACCTGCGTCGCTAAGGAAACGTTTAAAGTAATCAAATAGCTCTCAATTTAATTTTGTGATTTGATTTAAAAATTGTGAATTTAGTGGTTGTTTAGAATTTATTTTTAATACTATAAAGTGAAAAGTGTCTGATTCCGAGTTTTCTTTGACTCCACCGGAATTAGTAGAAGTAGCGAAAGTAGCGTCACAAAAATTATTGCCAGTTAAATCGCGGAAAATTTACGAAACCGCGTATTCAAGATTCATGGAATGGAAGATGAAAAAACATGCAGTTCTTTGTCGGAAACGATGTTATTTGCTTATTTTTCGGAATTGGCACAACAACAAAAGCCATCAACAGTGTGGTCGAATTATTCAATGATTAAAAGTATGTTACGATCCAATAATAATGTAGACATTTCAAACTACTTACATGTCTGAAACAAAATGGGAAAGTTTACAAGCCCAAGAAAGCTGCTATTTTTAAGAGTACACAAATTAGTGATTTTTTAAATAATGCTCCCGATGAAGTTTATTTAAAGGCCTAGGTTGTTGTTGTATTTGGGATTTGTGAAATCAGGCAGGTAACATTAGATGATATTGAAGATTCGGGAACGTTAATGATTGTGAAACTTAAGGAAACAAAGAATGATGTAAAAAGAAGATTTGTAGTTTCTGAAAAATATATTAAATTTTACCGAATGTACATAGCCCTTCGTCCAGTAGCAGCAAAGGATTGCCGCCTGTTTTATGCATATCACAATGGAAAATGTATCAATCATGTTGTGGGTAAAAACCAGTTTTATAAGGTTCCCGAAACCATGGCTAATTTTCTTCAACTTGAATTCATTTCGAAGATCGTCTGCTACACTTTTAGTTGAATCTGGGGAGACTTGATGACATTAAGGCCCGTATCGTCAGTCGTCCCTACAATTGTAGGGCGCGTTTATGGCCTCCTTGATTGTCATACTCCTTTCTCTCCTTCAAAAATTTCTAGATTTCACTTGTCCCGTGTCAGCGTCAGCGCTCTCCTATTGTGAAGATATGTTTTCTTTTTAAATTGTAGGAAATTTCAGGCTGATAAAATGATATAACTCAAAAGCAAGCACAATTTGATGCAAATAGATGTTTCTGACATAACCTCAAAATAGAGCGCTGACACGGAGAAGTAGAAAACTATGACAATCAAGGAGGCCATAAAGGCGCCCTACAATTGTAGGGATGACTGACGATTCAGGCCTAAAGAAGCATGGCGGTTGGAAGTCATCAACGGTCGCTTGATGAATCGGTAGCAGACAGGACAGAAATAGCTAATAAAGTGTTTAGAACGTGTGGTAGTGCTGAAATAACACCGTATTTGCGAAGTATATCAACGGGAGTTGTGATGGCAGAAAAACATATAATTACAACACAAGAAAATGCATGCAATGCACATTCAATAATTGTACTTTTGATATATAGGAAATGTAACTTTATTGTGTAATAAAATATTCTAAAATTAAATATCTACCTTTGCTTATGTGTTTATACAATATCCTCGAAAAAAGTCCTCATTTTTTTCCCGGGGAAAAAGTAATTTCATAAAAAGTGACATTTTGTTACCTGTCAACAGAGATAAAATGTCAAACTTTTTTCCCGTCACAGAAAAAACGAATTTTCCTAAAATCGTTTAAATTTTTTCCTGACTTTATGTGCAGTGGGTTTCAAATTGAATTGCACATTAACATTGCCACTTTTTTTCCTTTGCACGATGGCATAATTAGAATTTCAATATGACGTTTCGTCTCTTGAATAGTGTTTATAATTTTGATTTAAAAAATGTAGAATATGTCATACATTGACATTGCAAAAGCGTAGTTATTTCAGAAAAATCTAAATTTTCTATCTAAGTCTTGCAATTAACAGAGTTTGGAAGATCGAAAAGAAGACGAATTGGGCTTTCTTGGGGAGAAAGTGTCGATTTTTGTTACTCAATCAGGCCAAAATGGCTGAACGGATCTGGATAAAATTTCGTTCAGAGATAAATTATTCTCTGGAATAGCACATATGCTAGTTTTTATCTCGAGAAATAAGTTTAAACATCTATTTCACGGGCTACAGCCCAAACGGTAAAATGGAATTTGTCATAAGGTATCTCACGCGGAAGCGCTCAGTCGCTGGTCCTACCGAAATGAGTAAGGGTACAACATAAATAGAGGATTTGCATCGAACATTTACTGCATTTGGACATTCGTTTTTTTTCTTTTCGTTTTCGTAATCGTCTTGATTTAGATTTGTTCTGTGTTTTGTTTTACTCCAAGTATAATCTATTTTACTTCTGAATAATTTTTTCTAGAATTTTTGAAAGTACGGGTTACAAGCTTTTAGGTCTGACGTTTAAGTTCAGTAAGTTTTGAGACGAACATGTATAATCAAGACCAGCTTCCACTGATTAGGATGATATCCTTTTTATAAACAAAAATGTATTATGTGAGTAATATGAAAGTTATAGGAAGACTTACTTTAATCGTAGTTATTGACAGTGTTAATTCCATTATAGATCATTTTGAGGTCATCGACAAATTACTTTTATTCTAAAACTTTTCTTTTTTTCAAAAAAATGCGTGGTTACCAAGTTTTCAGGGTTTTAGTTCCTTTATTAACCAGTGCATGAGTGCAAGAACAGCAGCGTTTAAGATCGGTTTGCCTAGTGTGCAATTTCCGATTGAGGTTTAGCTCGATTTGCTTACGTATTTCGTATTACATAGATAACGTAACCGCCAAAAGCCATGAAAAGTACTATACATTTTTTTGTATTCGCGAAAATTTTCGTCAATGACATATGACATGTAGGAATTCAGAGTGACAACCCGATCGCTGCCGCGGAGCTGGAAAAAAGAAGACTACCGACGACTTCCTCTCTGACGAGAGATCTGGAAGCAGTGGGGATGCAACAATCTTGTACAGTTTAATGCTTCCAAATTATAGTACTGTACCTTGATGAACAAAAAGCTTCCTAGCGCTCATCCGGTTTCGATGGATGGCCGAGTTCTGCCAAAGAGCCGTTCATTTCGGCTCGTCGGAGTCCAGATCACCGAGGACTTCATCTGGCACGAATATGTCTCGTCAATAGCGGCAGCTGCTGGTAAAAAGCTAGGCTGTTTGTTTATGGCTAAGAAGTACTTTTCTCCGCATGACCTTCTCACTATATACTAGGCCTAGATAAGTCCTAGCCTCGAGTATTGCTCGCACGTTTGGGGTGCTGCCGCCCCGATTATATTACTTCTGCTGGATGCTGTCCAGAGGAGGGCTGTGCGACTGATCGATGACTCTTCTCTAACAGTCTCGGGACCCATTCGCACCGGCGGGCCGTTGGCGATCTAGCTCTCTTCTATCGCTACACCAACGGGCTTTGCTCCTCAGAGCCCTCTTCTATGATACCTCCGCGCGATGTGTCTGTCAGACAGACCCGCCTGACTTTGGCGTCCCATCCTAACCGTGTCGAACTTCGTACATCCGGAACTGGCCGAGACAACCGCTCCGTTGTCCCGAGGGTGTCGAGAATATTGAACAATCTACAAGAGGAAGCTTTTCCTAGTTCTACTAACCTTAGGCAGTTCAAACATCGGATTAAGTAAATTTCTTTGGGATTCTCATAGCAGCCGCGGTGTCCCGGCAGTTAGGCTTCTGCCTGCGCCGCTGCTTCAGTATAAAAAACATTGTTATTATTATGCCAAGTTCGCAAAAGCTTTGTAGTTTCTAGTGGCGGCAGACCAAAAGGCCTAAAGGGAAACAAGCAAAATTCTGTCAAACTGCGTCTTGTGTGGTTTCAGAGGATCTTATCTTTTTTAAATAAAATTTACAAAAACTTAGGGTGAGGGTGGTGAGGGTTTATCTCAATTTGTTGATGCTGGTACATGTAAACGTCCCAACAGTGGTAATTCTACGCACCTATTAGACATATTTCACACATCATAGATTTGTCTGCACATTAGTTGGGATGAGTGTTCTGGCATGGAATCACACGTATTTCTGCCATGCAACAGCATAGTGCTTTCTATACTCTGGACCTGCTTCCACGCTGCCACGTCTGCCCAAGTTAGGTATCGGGAGACGCAACCTTTCCATATGCACTACCGGTTGGGCAAGGAAAGAATGTCTATAGACTAATTGTATGGACCTGTTTGACGGACTTTTTTCTCAGGTGGTCTAGCTTGTGCTGAACATATTCGTTTAGATACTGATAAGGGCGTTGCGTGGGAAGTGCAGAGTCAACCTACTTGACGCTACTTTTTAATTCTGCTACCCTGATCTAAATATTACTCTGTCTGACAACGATGCACCGCTCCTGCTTCATCGCTGGAATAGATCAGGAGCGCAGCCGCGTCCATCGCCGTTGTCATGGTTACGTCAGGCGCGAAGCACGTGGTTTGAACCGCGGACCGGCTTGATCACGGCAAGCCGTGGCTCGCGTCGTCGCGGCTGTCATTTGTCAGTCCGCGAACAGCATTCGCGGAACGTCTTTAGCTTTTGAAGCAGCTTTGATTGCTTGTCGCTTGGACTTGCACTTTGTAAAGCTCAGCCGGATACTTTTGGTTTTGACGTTTTGATCGAGAATCGAAATGTTCATATTGTGATAGTATAGAATCGAGTGTTTTAACTGTTTTTTCATGTGTCTCGTGCAGGAAAGCTTCACCATGGACGGGTGGATGCAGGATGTGGTGAGACTTTTTTTATTTCAAAGTTACCGTGTAAATTATTACAACCATAATAACTTTGATCACTTGCATCCGAATACTTATATTTACTGCTTATTTTTGGATCTTCAAGTTTGTGACATCATGATTTATTCGGTTTTGACTTTTTCAGTCGTAGTTTTGTTCAGACAGAGTGGTGTGGCAGTTACTTTGTGCAGAAATGTTTCACCTTGTAGAGAACATTTCTAGACTCGATATAAGAAGTTTATATGTTTGATTACTTATTTTTGTCTCATTTATTATACTATATCCTACTAAATCTGCAACATATAAGCTCCAAAAAGAAAAATAGTAGTAATTGTTTTGCGGTCATCTACTGTGCTTTTGTATACTATGGTGTGCAAGTGCAAGAAGTTTCATATTATCACTGGACTTCCATCAATATATTTACCGGATTCGTAAGCCCAAGAAAATAGTGTCGCTGAGAACTATACAAGTATCATTTTGCATACAAATATCATCAAAAGTTGTTATATTCTGCCGCTCTTTCTGCCTACAATCCTTAGCTTTTGTATAACTCAGAAGTACTATGCGTATTTGGAGAGAGTTGGTACTATTGTGCCAAGAATGAAACAGCTTCGTAAGTTTCGAAGGACTAAGATATATGATTTTCGAATTTCTGATAGTTTTTACGTGTTGTCATGGGCCTTATTTGAGTGACTGATTGTTTTATCGCATTCATTGGATATGCGCTAAGCGCTTGTATTCAAAATTCTAAACACTTTGAAGCGTAGTAAAAAAATTTAAGAAACTTAAATATTTTGACATTGAAGCGTACATCTAAAGCGACGTTCAAACTTGCGCGCTCTTATTGGCCTGCAATACTTCCTACACCACCGGCGGGAAATATTGTAATCGCGAAAAAAATCGAAAGTGAGATATTATGTTACGTTAGGACTTTGATGACATTTTCTTACAATGTTACTACTATGCCAAGGACAAAGAAACTTTGTAGTTTTTGAAAATCGATCCAGTGGCAGCGGAGAAAATTGCCAAAAAGGAAAAAATAAAGAATCTTCTATCTTTTGACCCTTCAGATAATCTTGTATCATTTTCAGAAACATTTTTGCAGGGATTAAAAATTGAACGTTGGGGGTTATAGGGGGTGGGGGGAGAATATGTAATTTTTTTTGGTGGCAGCAATTTATGTTTTGAACCCCAGTCATTCCACGCACCTGTTCATACATCATAGTTTTCCCCGTACATTTGCTCTTACAACTTGAATAATACAGACATATTTTCAATATACTCATGCCGGACAATTCAACGAGCGTTGTCTGCTTTGAAGGCAAGATGAATCACAAACTGAATCACTGAGTGGTGATGCGGCTACCCGTGTATGCAATGCTGTGTGTTGACAGGGTGGTAAGCTAGATTGCAATGTTGTCAAATCTGTGGGGACTATGGACTAATTGTATGAGCCTGACATACTTGTTCCGAATATAATCCTCTATGAATTGACGACAACGTAGGAAGTGCAGAATCAACCTACTTGACGAAATTTTTCTTTCAATTATGTATGCATAGTCACGAATCACCGCCCAGCAACAAGCACGTTTTATGTGCATTAAGTTTACATTAATAAAATCAAAAATATCTCGAACAGATACACGTGCTAAGGCATCGATGTTCGCTGTAAACGAATGCACCGATAAAATCCTCGAAAATTCAACAGGCTAGTTTGAATACTGCATAGGAACACCTATAAATTTGAAACATGTACAGATATAGCCAGTGTTTCTTTATTTTAAAACAGATCTCATAAAATGAGCATAAAATGTTCGAATATTTTGTTTGGCTCGATCTGAAATGCAAATAACTATGATTTTATTGATATTCATACTTTTCTATAATGCGCTATCACGCACATATTACTAAGCAATTTAAAAAAAGGAATAAAAAAAGTAAAACAACACAGGCCAAGATTTTTACCTAGAAACCCAAATATACTTTATATTTTTATATCATTTGATAATCTACGCTTTATGTTCACGTTTGCATCAAAGTTGTGGTCTCGCTTAAAACACACCAAAAATTTAATAACAAGTTAATGTATTTTTATGTTATGAAATAAAGCCTGCTAACTACAAAACCCATAAATTCTGAACGCTAAATCCATAAAATATCCAAAACTTACCCATAAGCTCACAGCCCACCCTACCATATCAAGCCAGTTGTTTTAAAATAAAAATTACTTTCCTCTGATGAAGATGATTCAATCTAGATCAGCAAACTAAAAATTTCGAAGTGCCATATCTCAACGAACGAAAAATATATTCAAGCAAACTCAACTGCATTTGAAAGGGCAAGGTCTAGGAAACTAGACAAAATTGGGAGATTTGGACCAAGGGTTTAGGTTCAGCGCATCAAAAACCTTCAAAAGAGTAGATATACTCTCTGGGTTTCTGGGGACTTTTGTCGGCATGTGTAATCATTTTTGATGCTGATATTGCTATTAATTTTAATTTAGATAAGGTTAACACCATGCGTTTGTGGAAGAAATTTTCTGACTTGATTTTTTTAATAATAACTAGTGGCGACGCAGTGCAAATTACAAACAATTGGTTTTGTCGCTCCTGATTTTTTTATGGAAGATTTCGCACTCGTGCGTGGCCCATATAGTTATTAACAATTCAATAACAATGCTTTAAAATACTAGAATTAACCTCCACAATACTCTTCGTGGTCTTTCAAGGAAATGTTTAACTAAAATTGATACACTTGGCAACCTCAATGTTCTGCGTTTTTCAAAGACCATAACCACTGGCTTGCTTCTCGTTTCGTCCAACTCCAAGACTAGACCTATACCGCACTGATGAATTGTGAATGAGCACGAAACGACGCTGTCTGCGGTTGGTCATGGTTACAGAGACGGAGAGCAAATAATGTTCATTACAGCCGTGTCTTTTTATGCATATATTCGAAGAAAGCCATTGCTACCTTGACAGTCGACGGTGATAGTGATGCGATGCGACATCTCTGTGCATAGCGCAGAATGTCAAGCGGTTATGAGCCAGAGGACGTAAGGGTCTCTGTCGTTCTCACCGAATGGGATGAGGATGAAAGCTTGGTAAACAATTGGTAGGTGGTGATCTCATTTTCAACTCCTTGCGCATAATCATATGATAAGGTTCAGTTACATTAATCTGATTTTTAAATAAATGCTCCGATTAACCGTCGATATTCCTAATTTTTATTTGACGTTGAGAAATATTTTGTAATTTGGCTCTCAAATATTTACTTCAAATAATTCAATACGATTGTGAATCCATCAGCTCCACATGCATTATATATGATTAGCTACAGCGCCTTCCAAAGTAAATAATATAGTAAACAGAGAAACAACTGTGACAAATTATCATAGATGATGCTATGGTATCTCATTTTATCTCGTATAATTTTTTGGATGCAGATCTATAGCATTATGTTTGTTATCTTCAGGTAGAATACGTTAATCAATGATTCAAATTGAAGTAATTTCGGGAGAGCGCTAGAAAATATTTGATTTTCAAAGTCGGCTGTAGGCGAAATATGTTTGAGACGTGTGGTTTAATCAAATTTGCTTTGAATGTGAAGGTTTCGCGCTTGTCTAGAAAGTCAATTATTAAATGGTATTATTGTATTTGAGATGCCTTCTTTTGAACTGCTTTGCGACTTCCATGGATACTCACATTAAGCGTTGTTACATAAAAAATGCGATGGCAACGCAGCGTGATACATATTGCGTGATATCCTCCATTATTGACCTACCACAACGAATAACTCGATGAGGAATATCGACGAATATACATGCTACTGCTTCACTCTTTTTATCACTATAATTGTTTCCGACATATGTGTTTCGTACAAAGTATAAAAATATCGTTCCGCTGATGATTCTCATTGGCACATAGGCACATTCGTAAATAAGGCATGATAGGAATTCATGGTTCTTTAGTCCAGGCAGTATCTTCGCATCTGATGGGAAAAATATGCTTATTCGTTTTTTTTGCATAGCCTTATTTAAAAAGGACCCCTCTCAATGAATCTGCATGTTGCAAGGCTTAAAACGTCAAAAAATGTCAACTTTTTAACCAATTCCAAAAATTGGTTTTGAAAACATCAGCGTAAAACCGAAAATGGCAGAATTTGTTTTTGGCAGTAAATCCAAAACGGTTGATTTGACAGTTGTCAAAATGTGAGATTCTGATATTTTTAAAGAAAAATAAGATACCATATATATGACATCAATCGTCTTTTTTTCCAGCAACCCGCCTCAACTTTCATTTTTCTTATGGCCGCCATATTGGTTTATTTTTTTATTTTTGAAAAGAGTGTAAAATTTCCAGACTCGTGATGTCTCACATGTACATAAAATATTGGAGTATCACCGAAATATTTTTTCTAAGGGGGCCATGATTTATTTGTCAGAAAATAACATTAATGAGTAAGGCATAAAAAACACATAAACGCCTTGAATTTTCAATAGAATATTAACTTTAATATCGACTTCTCAATAAGTCAAATGGTTTTGAGACAAATTCCCAACTGTGAGTATGAAAAAAAAAGTCAGAAAAATCGTCGTAAATTTATTTTAAACTTGAACATTTTACAAAATTGTAATGTAATGTAAAATCTAATTATGTAAGTAAGCATTATTCTACAGATTTGCAAAATAACGGCCATTTGCATCCAGGCATTTTTGACAATTGGTGACTTTTTTTCGTACAACCTTAGCTAGTGTATTTCTGTTAATGTTTCTAACTGTGCACAAAATTCACTGTCTCAGGATGTCTATGGTCGCGGGAGGATCAAATTCATAGACCTCATTCTGTGTGTGACCCCAGAGGTAGAAATCCAAGGGTGAAAGGTCAGGGGATCTAAGAGGCCAAGATATTGAACCATTTAATGAAATTATTCTTCCATCAAACTGCTCTCTTAAGAAGTTCCCGACTTGAATGGTGTTGTGAGCCGGGCGTCTATCCTGATCAAACCAGGTTCATCTAACTCATTTTCGGTTAGACTAGCTCGTAAAGCCGGGTACCTCTGTCCGGTTAGGTCGTAGTCAAACAAAAATGGTCCTATAAGTAGATTTTCTGAAATGATTAATACCCAATTAAAAAAGGCAAGTTAGATTAAATTACCAATGACCCCCCACAACACGTTAGTTCCAAATCTAGTCTGTAGACGTGACTCTGCCACTTCGTGAGGGTTTTCCACACTCCAACGATGAGTGTAAAAACTCCACAGTTCATAAACCTACTCTCATCGGACCTCAAGACATGATTTACAAAATCGGGATTTTCATTAGACTTTTTACTTCTTTCGTCTTGGAAAATCAGTTTCCTTAAGTCTTTGAACTATTGTAGGTTTGTATGGATGGTACTTATTCTTATTTAACACTCTCTGTACTGTTGATTTTGACACACCAATTTCTCATTCTATAGTTCTTACTGATGCACTAGGAACTTCGTTGACAGCTTGTAAAATGTTTCTGTCGCGATTTTCATTTTCAGTATTGTATCCGCTTCTAGGTTGTTCGAAGGCCCTATGGTTCATTAAATTAACTGGTATTTTTCTAAATTGGGTTTTATGGGGCTGCCGTCGTTTCGGGGTACCAAGCACATTGCTGAGGTAATATTGGCGTTTCTGTGTGACTGCAAGTACAGCGCTAACGTGTCAAACTTTTATTCATTTGAATATTGAATACCGGAAATTTTCAACAGGTTTTGACATTTTTTTGTCAGATTTATGATTTTAATGAGAGAAAACCTACATACTACTTACTAAAACAGAATTTTAATACTTTGAATTATTTAACGTCAAAGTCGGAGCCTCCTTAGACGAAAAAAATGCGTTACTTATTAATATTATTTTCTGACAAATAAATCATAACATTACGTGTGATGATATTTCGATGATGCTCAAATCATTTATGCACTTGTGAGACATCACTAGGCTGGAAATTTTACGCTCTTTTCAAAAATCGAAAAATCCAATATGGCGGCCATAAGAAAAATGAAAGTCGATGCAGTTTGCGGGAAAAAAAAGACGATTGAGACATGTCATACACGCTACCTTATTTGCCTTAAAAAATGTCCAAATAATGTCACATTTTGACAGCTGCCAAATTAACCGTTTCGGATTTACTGACAAAAAACAAAATTCTACATTTTCGGTTTTTCGCCGATATTTCCAAAACCAATTGACCGATCGTAAATCTGAAGCCGGCTATCGAATGCACTAAGTTTCCTCTAAAACTTTCCCCATTTAACCTTTGCTGTAGGTATAACAGGAGCCGAGATCCTTGTATAGAGAAGCGAATCTGGGACACACTGTATATAAAGCGTAACTGTAGTGGCGAAGTTTAGCAAAATGCTATTTTAACACTTAACCACTAAATATATTGTTGTTAACACAAAGATAACACACACACACAAAAAATATAACGAATCACTTAAAGTCCATATAAGGAGTGAAAAATGAAAAGTTTTGTGTGTACATACTGCTTCTATAAACAGATCTGTATAAAATAATAATGAAAAAGGTAAACGTTTGAAAAACTCAACATAACATTATAGCGGAAATGTTAATAAGCTCATGGTTTTAAATCTATTGTCCCAAGAATTATATATTACTGCAACCGTATATGAGAAACTTCGTTAGAACAAAGATGTTGTATGCCTCGGAATTCCAATAAAGTATCTGCCCCTAATAGTTCTGTAGTGTACAGTGTGAAGTATATGTGATCTCGAGTCAATATCATAATTTCATAGAAACTCATGCTCTTGAATCAATAGTACTCCTTTTTGTGTGTCGGATACTGCAGTAGTTCAAGACAGACATAACCAAGAATTCGCAAAGTTTTTTCCTCATTTTGAAGTTTAGCAGATATCTGTTTGAATATAGGGTGCATAAGGGTGCAAAAGTTTTTTTGTATCAGATTCTTTACATGCTCAGTGAATCTCAGTTTGATATCAAGTTCACACCCAATACTTTAGCACTACTGGTGAGCTGAAGCTGCTTATTGTCAATGTTCACATTCAAGCGCGAAACAACGTCGTTTCTCTTGCTCTCAGAACAAAACAATAAAATCTTAGATTTTTCCGGATTTATGCTGAGGTTGTGGTCTGCAGAATATTTGCATAGATTATCAATATCTTGTTGCCATACTGGAACAGTGCCCTGTATGTCATCCATACTGAAACAATGGGAGAGCTGGGTGTTATCAGCGAATGATTCTATGTCTGAGCTGTGAACTGATCTACGAGTAGATAAGTCTAAGGTCAAATTAAGAACAAAAGAGGTCCAGGAATGGAACCCCGAGGCACTCCCAAATGTATGCGGGTGACATCAGATGGTATACCCTTCAATGAAACACATCGAGTCCTGTTTTTAAGTGCTACCAAAATTTCTATTACCGTGAGTTGAAAATTGAAAATATATAAGAGCGCTGAAACCTGACTGTGCCATGTCTTGTTGTGAATAATGTGCTCGTATACCTTAAATTTAAATCATGAGTGCTCGTTCTAAATGTTAGCTTGTTCCATAAACGTAGTGGTGAATGAGTAGTTCTGAGTATAATGAATTTTACAAATGGCAAAAGTAAATATTTGAACAGGTTATTAATTTTGAGTTTTGAATCATAGTAAATGTTTGATTGGCCCAGTTACATGATCATTTTGCCTAAGGTTATTTGTTAAAGGCAACAAAAAATTGAATTTCCTGTAGTCTGTAGCTGAACATTTGATCTAAACAAGGATAATACGTTATGATTCCATATGAAATATTGGAAATAATCAATGATTCACATGATTGCTTCTTTGTTTTAAAACTGAGGAAGTGCCTGTTTGTATATAACAGTTTTAGCCTAAAATAGCGTGATTTGATGACTCTGTTAGCATGCATGCGAAAACTTAGGTCTTTGTCTATGAGTAGGCCTACATTTTTGCATATATAATAATAACAATAACGCCTTTATTTGTTGTACATGTGAGGGACAAAGATAGCGAAGTTTAGCCTAGGCTACTCTTACACTTACTATCTTTCTCAGTACATTTAGAGCACTATGTAATGTGCGTTGCCTAAGATATGTCATCAAAAAAAATTTATAGTGATAACTAAACTATACTATAAACTAAAATACACCACAACTATATACAGTATGTAAATGGATGCCCAAATATAAATATACATACACATATATATCATTGGATTTTAAATCTGTGCTGCCTATTTTCAGGTCCAGGCTTGCTTTTAGATGTCTCCGCTTTTCTTTCTTGCAAAAAAGTACATTTGAGTTTTGAGGACTAAGTTTCATATTATTAACAATGATTGAGTATCATCGGCATATCAAATTACATTTTGAAGACGAAATCGAATGTATATAAGAACAAGAGGGGCCCGAGAACCAAACCTTGTGTGCTCAGTGAGCGCCAGAGAGATGCAGCTGGAGACCGCCCATATTGTTGCATCAAATATCTCGAAAAATATCACCTTTAGAGAAAAAGTTTTTTTTTTAAATGCTCCAACGCAAATGGGGCCTGGCAACATGCAGATTTATTAAAAGGTCCTTTTGAATAAGATTATGCAAAAAATCCGAATTAGAATATTTTCATCATCAGATGCGAAGATACTACCTGGACTAGTTACTAAGTTAGTTAAGATATAATCAACCAACTTGTGCTACGTGCCATTCTAAGAGCTTTCAATGATTATCTAAGTTACGAAATTTGATATTTGCGAGTAAAAAATACTTATGACATAAATAAACTAATATTTTTTCGCGATAACCTAATTTGAGCCAGGATCATAGAATGTTATGTAATATATTATAATAAGTATCTTGCTGTTTTTTTTCTTTTCTCCATGATCGGTTCAGCTATTTCTAGACATGAATGAATAATAAATGAAATTAGAGGTATACCGGCACCATAAGAAGCCGGCGCATAGGCCTCATAACGGGTCCTTATGCACCACTACATTCCCTAACCCACAAGCTCCGACCTTCTAGCAAAGCTGAGTATAGTCCTGAGTCCCTGCTCCTTAACACTCAAATTAAAAATGAAGTTTCAACACATTGGGAAATTGGCCCTAATAATTGAAATAGATAAACGGAAGTCCCACTCAAAAAATAAATGATCACGTTAGTAAATATGCCGAGAATTTTGCTACCTTCCAAAATCACTAATTAAGCAGAATCGTTCATGTCATATGCTAAAAAATTATATTTACTTTCGTTTTTTAGCTTAATTAAATTGATCCCTGCTAATTAACAATAAATAACTAGGCGGTTCACATCGCACATATTTCGGGGCTGCTGTACGATTACGTATAGTTACTTGAGTCTCCTTTCTAGAGAAACCAAATGAGCATTGGTAGGCATATACGAGTATATCCAAAAGTATGCACAAAAACTACGTAATTTTGAACATTATCATGTAAATATATAGGCTTGGCAGTTTCTTACGTTTCCGTTAATGTTAGTTATAGGAATAAATCAGAATAATTCAAAATTACTTCCCTCATTTTCTTCCTTTCTCTGACCCTTCTTATTCCATAACTGCATTTGGCATCTAAGCGACCAGGCTAACAGACCTACTTTAACCTCGCATGTCCACTTTTTTTCAACAGCCTGTCAGTGCTGTCAAAAAATCCATTTTTTGTGCATTTTTGCTTCAATCGTAACTTGTTAACAAATGTACAGTTCTAAAATTGTATGTGAGTATTTCACTTTTATGGAAGAATTGAGCGGATGATAACGTTTTCCTTATCACTTTCTCTCTTCAAAAAATCTCTGCTTTTCTTGAAATCCCCTTACTTCTCACAATGACAAAATTAAAATTAGATCTGTTAGACGTGTTATTCAATATTTCTAGCCAAATCTACTTCCTCCCTGCTAAGTAAATATCTAAAAATGTACCTAAATATTTTAGAGATTTTCAAAATTGTCGATTATACAGACATATCCAGTTTTACTCTCAGTATAGAAAACATACTTCAGTTAAGTTCATGACTGGAGTTGTTCCTGCTGGTTTACTTTTGTGAGTAAATCTTATGGTAGCAGTGCATCTGACAAAATGGTTTTTGATGAAATAAATCTTATCGGTAATTTATTACTCAATCGGGATGCCGTTATGGTAGATAAAGGGTTTCTTATTGATGATATTTGTGCTATACATAAAATTAAGTTTATTAGAATTATTGTTCATATTGAAATATCAAACCAAAGATTAAAGATTTTTAAAATTATTACTGGAAAGCTGCAATGGTCACTTGTTCCCAAAATTCATGAAATTTTTACTGTAATGTGTGGCATTACCAACCTTTCGCCACCTATTCTTTCTGTTATGGGTTTATTCCCTTATCACATTAAACTTCTTGTCCCATTAAATAGATCGTTACAAAATATCTGTCATTGAATTATGAATAGCAAAATAAAGAGAAAGCTCAATATTTTTTGTTTAGAAATGTTGATATGTAAGTTTTCCTTGCATGTGTATTATGTATAATTCTTTATCGGAATGAAATAAATCAACATTATTTAAACACTAGTTGTTTTATTCTAATAAAATGATAAGGTTTTACAAAATTATTGATTATGATACAAGAAATTCAAATGGTTTATTGTGTCATTAACAAAAATAGTTGACACTCGTCAAAAATATGTTAAGAATCATTTACATGCATATTCTTGAAATAATTATGTTTTATTTTTTCAGTCATATTTTCTGGCGAAGTCGTAATCAAAGTCCACGTCGATTATTACTGAGCCGCCATAAAATGACCAATATGGATATACATATGACTTCATCAGATTCAGCATAGTCATTTCCAATTGTATTTGACCATAGTATTTATGTTTCTTTTTCAACACAAATTTTCCATTTTTTTTTTCTGAACATACTGGCATGGTTCCATGACTTCTCCAATTGATAATGTCTCGCCTAAAACATAGTGCTATATTCTGTTTAAATAAAATTGTGTAGAGCTATTTAAAAACAAGTATTCCACACCATCTGGTCAGAAGGATAGCCATTTTTCTTGTGAAAAAGTCACC